GCCGCGGGGCGTGACTTCCGGCATGCTTCTGCGCGTCATCGTAATCCTTTCTGGGTAAAATTGAGCAGCAACGATAAGGGGGGGACTGGCGTATAGGGGGGAGGACACATCGACCTGGAATCTGTGATACATCACCGATAGATCGGCGATAGGTCGCCGATCGTGAGCCCGCACGTTGCTGGGCAGGTTGGGGCTATCGGGCCCATATCGGCGATCAATGGTCGATTGGGGGTCGACGCATCCCCACCTATGCCTATCCCCCCCTATCGTTACCCCTGACATGTTCACATGACCCTGAACGTTCTGTACTTATAGACTTCAAGAAACCTGCCTCCGCAGCAAGGGGCCCTACGCAATCCGTGTGTCTCTGAGCTCTCGGCCTCCGGGGACCGTGCTCGGGATCGAGGGCCGCCAAGAGAAAGCTAGATATGAGAAGCCCACCCCTGTGAAAGGGTCGGAACTTCTGGGGACCTCATATCTTTGGGTTATATATATGTATGTGTGTAGATTTGTGTATGTAGATATGTGTGTACACCTATATATACATATATATACGTATACAAACATGCAGACATACATACATACATACATACATACATACATACATACATACATACATACATACATGCAAACGTACTTACATGCATTCATACATGCATACATACACTCAAACATACATCCATACGTACGTATATCATGCATACACACATGTATAGATGCATACACACAAAACCGGAAACCAAAACCTTAACAACAACAACAACAACAACAACAACAACAACAACAACAACAACAACAACAATCATTTTACCCGAACGCTCAGTGTTCTCCCCAGTGCCAGGGTTTTCATGCGACGCCAGCCAATACCCCCACTTCGTGGGGGGGCAATGCAAGCTCTACCAAACATCCACACGACTCTCGGGAACCACCCACACCCAGCTTCCCGCCCTATGACGTCAGGACACTTCACTTCGTGGCGCGCGGACGATCGTGGATACTACACTGGCGTGGAGTACACACCCGCAGAGGTTGATCACACCATCTTGGGCGCCTCTTGCGGCCTCATGGGCGCCTCTTGGGGCCATCTTGAGCGCCTCTTGGGGCCATCTTGGGTTTTAAAGATTCATGAAGAGCCCGCGGGTGGATTTTGATATTTTTCGGATGAGAAAGTCTTGCGTTTGCATATGTTTTCGGAACATCGCATCTTGAAATTATTGAAATCACATTATGTTTGGCAGGATTTCGGCACGCGCGCGCGGCGGCCGCGCGCATGTGCACTTCGTGTCATTTTTTGCAAGGGATGGTGGCCCTCGTAGGCTCGCAACCGTTGTTGCAGAAGGTCGAAGCACCTGAAAAGGTTCCTCGCAAAGGCCCTTTTAACAGAAATGTTTAAAATCTGGTGGGTTTCCTAGGAATCCGCAAGAGCGCGCGGAAGGACATTTTGACAATTTTTTCTGAGAAAACCATTGGGTTTTTGATGTTTTTATGTTAAAATCGTTACGAAACCTAAGGTTTTGGAAGGATTTCGTCTTGCGCGCACGAATGTCCACTTTACCTTATTTTTTGCAAGGGATTCTTGCAATTTGATCAAGTAAAAACAAGAATTTTCATTTTCTATTGTTTTTTGCAAGGGAAAACGAGCGTCAACAAAAAACCGGATCCGGAGCTCATCCACTTTTCTGAAGCTTTCGCGAAAAAATGATGAAAATGTAGCTGCGGCCTAGGCGCGGCGCAGAGGTCGCGCACCAGGGGTCCCAACAATAATAATTCTTTAGAAGGAATAATGTTCAACAACAACAACGACAACGACAACGACAACGACAACGACAACGACAACAGTAATTTAAGACTGTTCGCTCCTATCTGCTCGCGCGTACCTCACCTTGTACATACTAAACCCCCGATGCCCGCCCTCTTCGTCGTCGATCGTACCCCCATCTGGGGGGTACATCTTCCTGACCTGCCACGTGTGTTGGGCGCAGCCTCTAAAAGAGCAAGAGGAGTGAGAAAGGAAAGAGAGAGAGAGAGAGCGACAGAAAGAGAGAGGGAGAGAGAGAGAGAGAAAGTGAGGAGGAAAGCAATGGGGGAAGGGAGGGATGCAAGGAACAAGAGGGAGGGAGCAGAACTGCGGACAAGAGAGATTAGAAGGTGGGGGGCTTTAGAGAGGATCCGGAAAACAAGCGGCAGATTCAGACGGTTGGGTCGGGCAACGGTCCCCAACGGACGGGTCGGGCGGGCGGGGCCTGCAGACCCGCGGGCGGACCCTAACGGGCGGGTCGGGCGTGCGGGACGTGAAAGCACCCGGCGAGCTTCCAAGCGAGCCGCCGGGCCTGCCGTCACAGGCAAGTCAGGCGGGCGGCCCTAACGGGCGGGGCCGGCGGGCGGATCAAAGCGTGAGTCCTGAATGAATTGTGGGGAAGTCTCAGGCGAGAGAGTGCGGGTACATCTTCATTACTTGGCACGTGCAGTTGGGGGCCACGAGGGGCATATATATATATATATATATATATGGGACACAAAAGGCTGCGAGGGGCCACTGAGGGCAGCATCGGGGCCACGAAGGGCAGCGACTGGGCCACAAGGGGAGGAGCCACGAAGGGCAGCAATGAGGCACAAAGGGCGCGAGCCAGCATTGGGCACGAAGGGCATGACCCTGACGGGCGGGCCGACCAGGCGGATCGATCGTGAGTTCTGCGTGATTAGCCAGGAAGCTCCCAGCGAGAGAGCGATTCCTAAGTCAATTTGAAAGAAGTCCCCAGCGACACGCGACTCCTGAATGGCAAGAGCGCGGCGCCTGAGTAAATTGCGAGGAAGTCTCGGGCGGGAGCGCGATTCTGGAGTAAATTGCGAGGAAATCTCAAGCGGGAGCGGAGGACCGGAGTAAATTTCGAGGAAATATGCAGCGGGAGCCGTTGTTGTTGTAAACCGAAGGCCAGGGGCACAATTTGAGGAGGAAGACTTTCCCTGATAGAAAGCAGGGTGCGAATGCCGGGAGGGGCACTTCAATTGAAAAATACAATGTGCACCAGAGGGGGTGGATCAACAATAGTAACTCTTCAGTAATGAGAGTTCAACAACAACAACCACCACCACCACCACGACGACGACGACGACGACGACGACGACGACAACGACAACGACAACGACAACAACACCAACAACAACAACAACAATCACCAGCAGCAACAGCAACAACGACAACAGCAACGGCAACGGCACCAGCAGCAGCAGCAACAGCAACAACAACAACAACAGCAACAACAACAGCAACAACAACAACAGCAACAACAACAGCAACAGCAACAGCAACAGCAACAACAACAACAACAACAACAGCAGCAACAACAACAACAACAACAACAACAACAACAACAACAGCAAGGGCGGAATGTCTGGGGCAGGCAAGGGTGACCTCTAGTGCGCGGCCTGCCGATCGCTGCGTGCCCGTGCGGTGCAACTGTGGCGGCCCGCGTGCTTGGTCTCGGCCTCCTCCAGCGGCGGGAAAGAATCTCGTCTGCGAAAACGCCCCTGCAGTGAAAACGACCCTTAAATCGGGCGTGTCCCCCTGCAGGGGGATTTTCGACGAAAAATAAAACACACTCCCAAAGTATCCCAAAATGATCAAATAAATACTCAACAAATAGTCCCCAGACTATTTTTTGAGTACTTGTGAATGTTCCTCCTGTAGAGGGACAGGCCCGACTTAAAACGACCCTCGACCAGATCTGGTGGGCGCAGGCCCGCAGCAAAGCACGGCCGCAACGCCCTCTCGACTGCCGGACGCAGGGACACTTCACCGATGGCCTTGGCAAGGTGGGGGCTCCACCCACCTCCGACACCCCCACCTAGAAGAACAAACAAGCGGCATCAGCACAAGATGTTGGCGGTCCTCGCGGATTTCTTGGATCTGCACTGGGACCCCCCTCCCTGGGGCGCGCGGAGCGCTGTTCTTCGAGCACGGCCAGAGGCATGTGCACGGCATATCGTGGCCCTGGCCATGATATCCCGCCCCCCTCCCCCTGGTCCTCACCCCCCTCTTGGGCGCCCCCGGCGGCAGCGTGAGTCGATCGATGTCGGCCGCTTCCAGGCCCAAAACCTCGAGCGCCTGCGCCAGGATCGCCGCCGCGTCGGCACGACGCGGAGCTACCGCAGCTGGGGGGGTCAAGGCCTGGGGACAACTGCCATTCCCCCCTGCAGCGCACTGACTCGAGCAGCTCGTCGTCTCAACGGCCAGGAAGAAACGGAGAACCCGTCCGAAAGTGAAGCATGCAGATACGCAGCTCCCAGCACGAGGTCCATGAAAGCTGCATCAGCCACCCCCGTCGGACTACGCAATACCTCTCCTGATCAATGTTCCCCGTCTACTCGTTGACGCAGCGCTGCACGTGCCTCCTCCTCCCCCCTCCTCCACACCGGGTGGTTGCTGCCGCTGCGGCCAGGGCAGCAACGGTTCTGAAGCGCGGCCACCGGGACCGCACGACGGAGGGTCAGCACGCGAAACCGCAGCTGGAAGACCTAGAGGTCATCGGGCTCTTCAGAAGCCGCCAGACCTGTGGGAAACTCTACACACATAGGCGAGCGCGTTCCACTACTCGCAAAGGTAACTACGCGCAAATGGCCTGGATTCGCCGCGGGGGGTTCACGATCCACTACATCGAGGCAAACATGTGTGCGCTTCGGACGTTTGCGAGTAGGCACGTTGTGAGTAGTGGAACGCGCTCGGTGAATGCAGGCGTCCCCTGTTTCCCACTGCAGGTTGACGTGCAGGGAGAAGCAGGTGCCGGTATTGGTTCTCAGAGCTGGCTCGCGGGGGGCAAGACGGGGCCCCAAGGCCCCAAGGCGTGGGGCAAGATTGTGGTATGAGTGTCAGGGCTTCATTTATTCTCGATGATGCTCGGGAAGCCAAAAGGCACCGACACCGCTACTCCCCGGACCTCTCCCAACCCTCTCCTCCTCCGAGATGTTGTGCCCATACTGCTGGTCTCCCCGAGCCGGGTCTCCCGCTGGAGCTGCTCCAGCGCATCCTGCGCCCGCTGCCGGTCCGCGCCCTGCGCCAACTCCAGCCGGGCCTTGGCCTCCGCCAGCTCCGCCTCGGGAGGCGCGGGCGTCGGCCAACACAGGAAGGGAAGCAAGCGGGCCAGGGCTGGGGCAGTGGACTTCTCAGATGGAAGCGGCGCTCTTCAGAAGCATGCTCACCACTCCCCCAACGCGGGGTGGCCCTCTTGGAGTGAGACGCCCTGAGCACGCACGGTTTGCTAGTCCGCCGGCGGCTCACGCAGAGGGGGCAGTGCAGGCCCGGGCACGGCCCGTGCCGACGCGTGCGCGGGCATCTGCCTGCGCCCCAGCGAGCGCGCCTTCTCTGGAGGGGCTACAATTAGGTCGGCCATGTCCTCCTACAGCCGGATTTCGGACGAAAAAAAAAAAAAAACAAAGTTCAAAAATTACAACAAAAAAAAAAAAAAACAAAAAAAAAAATGATCCACATCGCCCCCCGACTACTTTTTGGACTATTTTTGAATGCTCCCCCTGTCTGTAAAGTGTAGAGAAACAGGCCCGACTTGTCAGGCTACAAGATACCGATGCGGCCGCTTCAACGCATGAACGGGCAAGGACGCGCAACTGGGCGCATACACTCCGTACGCGGCGGGCGCGAGCATGCGCGCACGGCGGCGCGCCGCGGGGTCGCCCGCGTCCCACGGCCGCAGCGGCCGGCGCGCGGCACACCGGGAGGAGAAGAGAGGCGCCCGGCCAGCAGCTGCAGCAAGCACGGCCACCCCATCGCAGCCCACAGAGGCGCGCGCACTCACACGCACACAGACACACACACACACACACAAACAAATACTTACTTTTTTAGCGTCGGCGGCCAGGCAGAGGGTGGCGATGGATGAATGGAATGTGCGGGGGTGCCGTTGGGCCGAGTTGTGCCACCATGCAGGAGAGAGGAGGGAGGAGGGACGCGGCCGGAGGAAAACAAGGACGGGGCGGGCGGCTCAGGGGTCACACACATGCATATGCGAACGCACACACACACACACACACCTGCACACACAACACACATACACACAATACACACACATGACACACACGCACGCACACACACACACGCACGCACGCACTATTAAGGGCTCGCAGGCTGGGCCACGCCACTGGCCGAGCAGCAGGCCTGCGGGCGCCCGCGCGCCAGCGGAGCAAGAAAGGGCGACCGGGCCCTCACAGGCCAGCGGCGAGGCGAGGGGAGCAGCGGCCGCGCCAGGGGCAGCGCACACGCACACACACACAACACACACACAACACACACAACACACACACAACACACACACACACACAACACACACAACACAAACACACAACACACAACACTCAACACACAACACTCAACACACAACCACACAACACACAACACAACACACACACACACACACACACACACAAAACACACAGAACAACACACACACACACAACACACACACACATTTTTCCGTCGGCAGCGAGGCAGAACGGCTGCATCAGCGGTAGAGCTAAACGACAAGTTCGCGTCGTGACGACCCTGGGGTCGGTTTCGGACACCGCGTGGATCGTTGAACCATGGACGATTGCGGCTTTCCGAACCGCAGATCGTTCCATGCTGACCAATTCTGGGCCACAGGCAGTATTCAACCTTACACGCCTGCACCGGGGTCTCCGCCACTTCGACACGGCGCGAACCTGCCGTACACATAACACACGAAAATCTACATATACTGGTATGAATATATACACACATACCGCATTTCCCTAGCGCAAAAGCCAATGTCTCCGACGCCAGGCAACGACTTACGGCGGCTGCGGGCACGACCGGCAACTCGCAAGCTATGCTGCACAATCATAAGATCCTTTGCCCGCACACATACAGACACACACAAACACACACACACACAAACAAACACACATGCACACACCGTTTGACGTCCGCGAGCCACTGAATACTGAACTGGCTGATCGTGTATACTGAGAAGGTGCGAACCAGAAGCGCTGTCGGCCAAGTCGTAGGTGGACGAATCGCGCGCAAAATTCCATGTACTCTCAGGAGCCCGGCTGATGGCTGCTTCTGGAAAGTCTGAATCCCCGAAAAGTACAGCGTCCCTTACCGCATTCCGCCGCCCTTACGCCGCCTTCTGCTGAGGAAGAGATGTAAAACTCTCGGTCCCTCGAAGGCGAGGCCCTTCCTGGAACGCCTCAGATCGCAAGAGAAGGAAGGAGCGAGAGAAGCCAGGAGACAAATAGAACTCGCAGAGCACTGGAAGTCCAGGGGGGAAACTGGGCCCCACAACACGTCGCCTTCCATGCGGCTTTTCAAGACGGGAACGCCGATGCACAGCAGACAGCTGCCCAGGACCGCGAAACCTAGGAGCCGGGCCTTCACGTGCACACACACACACCAAGATGCGTCGGGCAATGCTCGCGTGCATACACGCCTTCCGGGCGAACAGGCTCCGCACATGCAGCCGCAGAATGTGCGAGATGTGGAAGCGCGCAAGTGCGCGCTGACGTGCACGCAGGCGGACACACACACACTCTTCGGTGGCGTCGCGACCTCGCCTCACGAGTGTTCGAGAGTCACGCCCAGGACAGAAGGGCTAACGCCAAGCTAAGAAAATCTGAAAAGGGGAAACACACACATTGCCCTCCTCTGCAGCGTTGGGAACAACCGCTGGCCAGCCAAACGGGCGCACAAATACACTCCGCACTGGCCACGTGCATAAGTAAACGTAGAGTTGTCCGCCAAGTCGAATCTGGGCGGGCCCGCATCGAGGCACATGCACGGGTTTGATCGTTGGGCGCCAGGGCGCTAGCATTCATAATACAGCTGAGGTGGAGGCGAGCCGCTTACCCACTGGGCGGGGGGATCACGGTCCACCAGCATCCGCAACCGAGGCTGCTTTGCGGAGGGCAGCGGATAGAAGCCCGAGTTGGATTGCGTTTGCACCCCCCCCACACACACACACACACCAGGATGCACGTCGGAGAGTCACAAAAGATCGGATGTTGTTCATCTGCGAAGTCGCAACTATGGAACCAGTAGTGAATAATGATGAGCGCGACGCCGTCGCCAGGTCGGCGCACAAGGGGTACAAAGAATGTCATGAGACGCTGAGCCGTATGTGTTTGGGCCGTCCAGGGCTGCGGGCCATGTGACACCAGACCCGTTGGCACGTCCATGGTCCAGCAAAGTGTGACCGATCACCCTAATTGCGGGATGCTGGCACAAGTTCTATTTTAGGTGGGCGCATCAAGGGCGTGTAGTCGTATGTACTGAGTTGTTTCAAGTACGCTGCGGCTGTGCGCGTAGAGCGTCGTATCTGATATTGCCACAGTCATTACACATCCGCCTGTGGGACACCATATGTCGAGCGCGGCGTGGGAAGAGGCGGGGTGATGGGAAATCGCTGCAAATGGCCCCCAACTACATGACATTGCACTGCGTTTCATGGCACGGCATCGTGCAGCATAATATGCAAAACCACACACCGTAAAACTTATAGACATTAAATAAGCCTGGGCTACCTTCAGGCAGCCAAAACATATTGAGGCACTGCAAAACGCATAACAGCGAAGTGCAACAAACATAAACCGTATACCAAATGCAAGAGCACATGAGTGCGTAATTTGATGCACGCAGTTGTACAATGTGAGCGATCCAGGGCTGACGCAACGTTTGCATCCACTATAAACTGCACGTAGTGCGCGCGATACACTGTGTAAGCTGTCTACCAGCATAATCTAACATACCAGCTGCACCAAGCATACATATTGTGGAAATTGATGGTTTGTACCCACGCTCTGCAAATGGCGTACATGCTGCAACTGGCTGTGCTATCGTCCCACTCGTCATCGACGTCGTCGCCGAGTACGATGGTGAAGTAGTCGTGCGTGGGCATTGCCACCAAGACATAAGGCCAAGGCAACTACAACATCCGTACGCCCACTGCTCACACTTTCAACGACCGCGATTGCTACTGCCAACGGCCACTGCTGGCGAGCCACCGCGCGGCGGTGGGGAGCAAAGCAGTCCTGCTCTTTTTGGTGCTGCTCCTTGAGGGACTCGATCTGGCTGTCTGCCTCTGCCCTGGCGAGGGAGGCTTCTGGAGGAAGGGGGGATTCTGCAGATGCACCCAGCCATACTGTGCAGTTCCGCACCCGCTCCTCGCGTCCTCACCAACTATCCCTCGTCATATTCCCCCTCCGTCTCCTCCTCCTCCTCCTCCTCCTCCTCCTCCTCCTCCTCCTCCTCCCCCATCCCCCTCCCCCTCCCCCTCCCCAGCCTCCTCCTCTTCCTCCTCCTCTTCGTAGTATTATTCTTATTATTGGTGTTATTATTAGTGCAATTCTTCTTCGTATTAGTATTATGGTTCATAGTATTAGTCTTAGTCTTCGTATTATTATTATTCGTAGTATTCTTCTTATTCTTTTAATGATTAGTATTCGTCGTCTTCGTATCCTGCGTATTCTCAGCATTAGTCTGTTAGTTTTATTATTAGATTCCTCCTGCTCCTCCTCCTCCTCCTCCTCCTCCTCCTCATACGATTCCTCCTCCTCCTCCTCCTCATCCTCCTCCTCCTCCTCCTCTGCCTCTCCCTTGGACGTCCATCATCCTCCATCATCCACCTCCCCCATCCCCGTCCCCTCGCCGGGCGCCTATGCTTCGTGGCGAGCGCCTTCTCCTGGGGCGGGACCAGGTGCGGGCGGGTGTGGGGGGCGGGGGGGGGCGAGCACCACCCCCTAAGACGGAGCCAGGACGAAGGTAAGATCGGACCACGGTGAATCTCGGAGGGCGAAGATCAAGGGGCCCAAGGACACACAAATGGATACACACAAATGAAATGATTCCCTATATGCTCTCATATGTTCTGGGTTGTTGTCTTCCCCCCCTCCCATATTCTCCCATATTTTCCTGGGAGTGGACGATTAATTGTGTCTGTGTGTTGTGTCCCCCTCCTGAGAAGAACAGTACTCAGGATGTCGTAGTACAAGGGTGGAGGTCTGAGCTGTCTTGGAGGTGGGCATAAGACCACCCTTTGATGGGAGCGCTCCAGAACGCCCAGAGAGTGTTCCAGAAGGCTCCAGAGCGATTCACCTCTGTCCTGAGTCCCCCTCACCCCCATTTCGGCCTGCTACACCGTGTGATCCCCCGGCGCGAGAGACCAGCAGCGGAGTGCCAAGTTTGGCCATCGACCCTCGAGGATCGGGGAGGCATGCTTTGGGATGGATTCGGGAAGATTTTGCTACGGGGGCCCTCAGAGGCCTCCCGCCAAAAGTCCCCAAGGAATTCCAGGCCCATAACGGATTGACGGTTTTTCTCAAGTCGAGTTACGGGGATCAAGCTCGACAAATCGAGTTACATTTACGCAAAAGTATTTCAACCTAGTTGGACTAAGCAGAAGTAAAGGTCAAAGTAACTGACATTTGAACTAGGTCGAAGTAAATCCAGAGATGCCCAGATACATGGAAGAGTCGTGGAAGCTCTAGCGCGGGTCGAGGGACACCTGAAGTCGCGAGGCCCTTGCTGTCCAGGGGACAGCATCCCTGGCGGGAGCAACGCGCCTGAGCTGCACGGACTCGAGGCCGTCGAAGGTAAACCGCCGCTTCCGGCATCTCTGCGTCCACGCCTCGGCCTCCTTCCCCTCCTAAACGCCCTCCTCCCCCCTCCCTCCACATAAGCGCCCCGCGGCACAGCGTGAACGGCACTCCCCATTCTCCGGCACTTCTCGGACGGCCGCCTCACCCTGAAAGGTGGGCTTGGACACCCTTGAAGTCTACTCTATGGCGAGCTCGACCATCCCCCCCTCACTCCCCACCACGCGCGCGCGGTCAACTTTTGCCCGCGCGCGCGCTCCAGAGCCAATCAGACCCTAGTTGCGGCAAGCTGCGGGGGCCGGCACTGCGGCCGGGCCCACCGCAGCCCGAGGATACGCACGCCGCAAGAGGCAGCGTACCTCGGAGTTGTTCGTCTGCCGAGACGTCCATCCTCGCCCTCCCCCTTCAACCAAAACACCGATCTCCCCAGACCCCTCCCGAGGTCCATTTTGGCTGGCTCTCCCTTCATCGGGCCGACGTCTGGCTGCCCCGCGCCCCGGAGCGGCCCCGCAGAGGACGAGATCGGCAAACAGCTTCCGAAACCAGATGAGGAAAATCCTCCCTCCCCCACCTCCACTTCCACCTCCACCTCCTCTTCATCTCCTCCTCCTCCTCCTCCTCCTCCTCCTCCTCCTGCTCCTCCTCCTCCTCCTCCTCCCTCCTCCTCCTCCCCTCCTCCTCCCCATATGTCTCATCCTCCTCCTCCCCCTCCTCCTCCTCCTTTCCCTCCTCCTTCCCCTCCTCCTCCTCCTCCTCCTCCTCCTCCTCCTCCTCCTCCTCCTCCTCCTCCTAGAGATTCAAAGCTGACGTCCGCGGTGCTTACTGCCCTCAGGCACAACTGCATCGCTTTGCTATGCTCCGATGGTGCTGCCCTCACCATTTGTATGCGATGCTATGCCTATTCCTCTCATGGGCAGCCTCGCAATCTACTTAGACAGTGTGACGGCCAACCACAGAGTGCGGGTGCCAAGTCTGCCTGGAGCTCTGTGGGGGCTGGACGCCACCCCAAGCGCAAAGGCGTTTCCGTCGAGGTTGGCCCCTGGTATGAAGACTTGGAGCAAGAGGAGCGGCCTCGGCGTCTCACCGCGCAAGAAAGGGAGTTGCGTCTAGCTAAGCTGGTGCGGAGGCTAGTCACCGCAGCAGGGGGGACATCAGTCCCAGCTGGCGTGGAGCTGGAGGTCGACCCTCCACCGTCAGCACATCCACAGGGGCAGCAGCAAGATCGAGTCGTTGGCCCTTCGTCCGATCCGTCGTGCACCGTCGAAGCTGCTGCCCCAACATCTCTCCCTCTAGGACCGCGTGACGCGGAAGAAGAAGCAGCCTTTTATTTGCTTGGCTTGGCTGGTGAGAGCCCCTCCCAGCAGGCCGTGCGGCAGGTGCCTGGGCCAGCCTTGTCGGCTGGTGCGTTCGGCCGTGTTCGAGCTGCCTCAATCCTTGGAGAGGGCGAGGTCTCGCACGTCGCAGTCGCTGCACCACAGTCTGATGACTCAGACTAAAGGGATGCAGCATGCGTCCTCAGCGTGTGTGCGTCTCGCCCTGACCTCATTCTTCTCAGGTCGTGGGCTTAGGGGGGCAGGCGGTGAGCCACAGGGGATCCTCCCCTCCTGTGGGAAATCGCCCCGTGGCTTTCGCGCCTGCCCTCCTTTCACCTTTTCACTGCTCGCTGGCCTGCTCCAGGCCAGATAGCACGGGGCGACGACCATAGGGCGTCGCTCTTGTTGCCACGGTTGATGTCAAAAATCCTCCTCCTCCTCCTCCTCCTCCTCCTCCTCCTCCTCCTCCTCCTCCTCCTCCTCCTCCTCCTCCTCCCATGCCTCCTCCTCCCATGCCTCCTCCTCCTCCCATGCCTCCTCCTCCCATGCCTCCTCCTTGTCCTCGTCCTCCTCCTCCTCCTCCTCCTCCTCCTCCTCCTCCTCCCTCCTCCTCCTCCTCCTCCCCTCCTCCTCCTCCTCCCCTCCTCCTCCTCCTCCTCCTGTGCCTCTCCTCCTCCTCCTCTTCCTCCTCCTCCTCCTCTCCTCCTCCTTCCCCTCCTCCTTCCCCTCCTCCTCCTCCTCCTCCTCCTCCTCCTCCTCTTCGTCCTTCTCCTCTTCCAATCCTTTTCCTTCTAAATAACTTCTTCCTGTCACACCACGAAGCCACTTTGTAGGGCGGGGTGGGCGTTCCGCCTTAGAGTTCCTCATCACGTATGACTCTGAAGCTTAGAAATGGCAACGGCTTCGCAGATGGAGGGCGGGTCGTTTTCAAAATGTGGTTCTCGCCATAGCGCGGCGCAAATCCGATTCAAAAAAAATGAGAACTTCACGGATTGAAGGCGAGTGGTTTTCAAAATGTGGCTCTCGCCTTAGCGCGGCACACACTGTCTTCGAACAGTGCAAGAGCCTCACGGATTGAGGGCGGCTCCTTTTCAAAATGTGGTTCTCGCCTTAGCGCGACACACATTCGTTTCTTAACAGTTGCAAGAGTTTCCCGGATTGAGGGCAGCTCCTTTTCAAAATGTGGCTCTCGCGAAAGCGCGGCGCTTTACAAATACAAAAAGTGTCACGGATTGAGGGCGGTTCCTTTTTCAAAATGTGGTTCCCGCCTTAGCGCGGCGCACATTAAAAAATGCAAGAGTTTTCACGGTTTGGAGGCATAAACGTGCCAAAAATGGTGTTTTGAAAGGATTCTGGATCATGCGGGCGCAACAGTTATGTTGATTCGCTGTTTTTGACAAACCAGGAATGGCGTTCTGGCACAGTTCAGGATTGTCATGGCGCAAATGTCAGGTTGATCCATGGCGTTGGAGTCCCGAGATCGATGTCTTGGCATGCTTCAGGGTCTTCAAACGGTTGTCCTCCGAAGAGGCAGCTCCTTCAATAGAAATGAACCGCTGTCGGGGCCTATGAAGAGGAAGGGGAGCTTGGTGGGAGGGTTTATTCCAACATCGTTGATGGCCCTTGGGTTTACACTCTTCCTCCTCCTCCTCCTCCTCATCCTCCTCCTCCTCCTGCTCCTCTTCCCTAGAGGGTCCCACAGATCACAGCGCAGCGCTCGAAGACCGTGCGAAAGGCGGGAGGAGGACGAGAGCAACTCGCAACCTGGGCTTCGGCAGCGGTGCTCGTGCGCGCTGCACCGCCTACGCGTGGGAATGCCCAGCTCTTTCGGGGTACTTGTTCCTGCTTTGGTTCTCCTCTATGGGACCGCGCCCACACATGAACCAGCATGAGGGCAGCTGGACAGGGCCTCGGGCCTCTGGCACCGCGAGCGCCCGCTGGACTCGGCAGCGGCCTCTGGAATCGCCAGGCAGCTTTAAGGTGCGATAACAAAACTCAGGCGCGATACCACATTTTTGACAACAAAAGGTCAAGGTCAAGGTTGGGCGCATCAGGATGGCTGGTGCAGCGCGCCCGGCGGGGCCATGGCCCCTCACTTCTTCTTCATCTCCTTTACGAACCCTTTTCCAATGTTGTAGCCAGATTGAAGCTCTCCCATCGCTGTCACGCTGCTGGGCGACAGCCTGCCACGAACACCACCCGTGTGAATGTGCATATCTCTTGAATTCGTCTTCCCATCTGAACCACCGTCTTGCGGGAGCCGCAGGCTTGCGGGAAACGTCTCCATCTCCGTCTTCCACCATTCAGAATCACGCCATCATGCTGCTCTGCGTGCGAGCCGTTCCGATTGCATTCGCAGAACATGCCCAGCCCAGCACCATTAGGCTTTGAGGTGACTGTCAAGCCAGAACCTGATGCCTGCCTTCTCTGCATGTTTGCGCGCGGCTCGAGTTGAACGCTTAATCCAGTCGACCCATGGTTCGTTTGGTCGCCGACCTGGGCCGGCGATTTTTCTCAGCATCCTATTTTGCGTGCTCTCCAGTAGACGTTTCTCCTTGACGGTAAGTAGCCAAGACTCGCAACACCACAAAGCTGTCTGCGTGACACTTGCATCAAAGACCTTGAGCTTCTTGTTAAGATGTCCATCTCTCTTTCCAAGCAACGGCCACAATGTGTAAAACTTTGCCCATGCGGCTCCAATGCGTGACCGCAGCTCTGCGGAGGTCCTGCCATTGAGTGTCCACTGTGTGCCCAGGACCTTGAAACCTTCGCTTGCTGTCACATCCACATCGACTGCCCATCCACATCGACTGCCCATCCACATCGACCGGCTGGACCTGGGCATCCACGCGAGAAGTCTGAACCAGGCACTTGTCCATGTTGAGGTCCAAGCCATGTTGCGCCAAAGCTGCTTGAACATCCCTGATCATCTTGACGAGGGCCCGCTTACCTGCTGCAAACAATGCTGTGTCGTCTGCGAACATAGCGTGGGTGGACTTCTCTGCAAAACTGCTACAAACATTTGTTCCAAAGCCATCGCGTGCCCACTGTTCCTGCAACATCTGGAACACTTGTCTCGTGACACTGTTGAATAGAATTGGTGACATGGGGTCTCCCTGCCGCACGCCGCACATTATGTCGAAAAGCCTGCTCCGGGTAGTGCCATCGAGGTGCACGTATGCCTTCTGTTGCCCTTATAGCCTAGACAGGAAGCAAACAATATCAGACTCAACGCCTGCCTCCTCCAGGGCATTGAGGACAGAGCTGTGGTAGACCTTGTCGAAGGCTTTCTCGAGGTCCAGACTTGCAGCCCAAACTTCTTCACCCCATTCCTCGGCCTGCTCGGAAACCATTCGCATGAACATGACGATGTCACTGCAACTGTAGTCCGGCCGAACCCCCCCTGCTCCACACCCTGCAAAGAGTCTAACAAAGAGCCGACACGTGAGAGCAAGATGCCACTGAAAAGTTTGCTGAGGACGGATATAATTGCAATGGGTCTGTAATTCTTTGGCAGTGTAGCCTCGCCTTTTTGTACAGCGCGATCAGCCGACTCACCGTCCAGGTTGCTGGCACATCCGCCGTACCATGCAGAATATCTGTAAACACTCGTGCAATTAGGGAGACCAAGTCTTCATGATTTGTCTTGAGCATCTCTGAATAAAAGGCCATCGTCGCCACATGCTTTCCCAGCGGGCAGTTTTTGTTTCAAGGCTGCTCTAATTTCTGTTGGCTGTATGGCTTCTGACCTGTCACCCTGGCGGCAAACAAAACCCTTCGATACAGCAGCATACAACGTCGCATAAAAATGTGCAAATACATCTACAATGTCATTGCTATAGGTACACCGTACACCATTGGAGTCAGTGACTGCAGTTATGCGTTTTCGCTTGATCGGAGAACGGAGCAACTTTGCTAGCTCCCGTTGGCCTTTGCCAGCACTCAAAATCTTGTCAAGTCCCGCAGACCTCTTCTCCTCTTTCTGCTCACGCAAATGCTCCCATGTGGATTTAGTCAGCAATTTGCGTTTTTCCGCATCCGTGGTGGTACTTTTTGTGGCCACGAGCTCCTGGAGTCTTGTACGTTGTAGTGGGGCTTGACACTCGGGCTCCCTGTCCATGCCTATGCTGCAGGCCCGGGCGGCAGCAACCACACTCTCAACAAGTGAATTCGGCATCATCAGGCGGATTGGCAACAAGTGCATCAAGTTTGTCATGGAAGGCTTCTGCGTCCAAATTCCTTTCATTGCAAGTTATTGTCCCGCCCCTCCTCTTGCGAGTGGCCCGCACTTTGATGGACATGTTCGCATAAACACAACGGTGGTCCAACTTGAAATCGATGGTGTCGTCAGCCCCAGAATCTATGAGCATCCCACGTAGAAAACTGTCTACCAAAATGTAATCAATTTGTCGACGCCTCCCCGTGCTCCACATTTGATGTGTCCATTGTAGTTCCGGCCGCTGTTTGAAAATTGTGTTACACGCTGCAAGTTGAGCTGAATGCAGCCACGTTGAAAACATCACCCCTCTTTCATTTCTGTCAGGCATGCCCCATTTTCCAATGAACCTCGGCGAATCATTCACACTTTGTGTGCCAATTACTGCATTGGCATCGATGCCTACAACTGCGTGGCGCCCAACCTTGCGCGCCGCATTGACGATGTCTTCGAGGCAGGCCAGGGCAGCATCATACTCAATGTCTGACCAGTCTCCATGCGGAAGATGATTGCATATAAGGCGCATGCTGATTCCGTGCATGATCAAATCAACAAATGCAGATCGTCCATCAGAAGTGGAAAACTTGGGGTGGCATGAGGCACCTGCCCACCTCCTGTGCAATAGTATTGCTACACTTCGAGGGCGAGCACAACATGAAGCGACAAACCACAAATGACCACCTTCCAATTCAAATAACCCTTCGCTCTCCCGTTTCGGCCCCTCTTGCACGAATACTGCATCCCATTCAGTTTCCTGTGCAGTCAACAATTTTAGCATACAATCCAAAGATTCCTCATTCATGCCAGCTGCACTCCACGAACGAATCCGGACCTTTTTGCCTGTCTCGTCGCCCTTATCCCGTGGATCGACGGGAGCGGGAGACTCAAAGAAAGTGCCAAACTTCGGCTTCACCACTCTGGCCCTGCGTACAAGTTCGACCGGCACATCTCCCTCCACCCCTGCATACTTCCCTCTACCTCACCCTCCGTCCAACAAAACGTCCAACTTTGTCGCGCTGAATCGTTCGATCGCGCTGTCTTTCTTTCAGACTTCGGCTCGAGTCCATGGACTGCCTGTGCTATACTTCTCTGGAGACGAAACGGCAACGCTATGTGCCAAGAGAAGTGGAGAGGCGAGTAGGGGGTCGCGGGGAGAAGACTGGCAGAGGAGAGAGGGGAGGGAAGAGCGCTCAGAAGGGCTTTGATGCCCGTGTCCGGGGGCGACGTGTTTTCTCGCGCCGCATTGCTGGATCGCGCCAGGCGGAGCCCGACGTGGTGGCAAACAGCCAGGGCGCCGGAGGCCGGAGCCTTCCTTCACTGTGCACAGCCCGGGCCCGGCGCCGGGGCCGAGCACGCGCCCCCCTCGGCCTGCGCGTGCTCGACCTCTGCGGCACTCCAGGGAGCACCAGGCGCGTCGAGCAAAGGACTTCCAGCGCCCCATGGGCACAACTCAGAGTACCAAAGTGGCGGCGCGGGCTCATCTCTACGACCGCGGCCCAAGCTGGGCACACCTTGGAAAGGTGCTGGCAGACGCTCTGGCTGCTTCGAGCCAATGTTGGAACCATCTTGAGTCGACAAGTCGGCAAGTGCGAAATCCTGCAATGCACCACCATGAAAATGACAGATCTGCTGTCGCCGTTTTCGTCGTCGTCGTCGCCAGTCCCAAGAAAGTTGAGGACCGAACAATGAAAAGAAACGTCGTAATTAGGTAAGTCGATTCCCTTCCCTTTTCCCTTCCCTGACCGGGGGGGAAGGAGGAGCTGGGGTCCCAGGTCAGATTACCGCCCCCCGGGGGTCCCGGGGGTTTGGTCCCACCTGTGGACAGGGATGGACAGGGAGCGGTTCCGATTCCCCCTGTGGGAAGGGGACGGACCTGGCCCCGGCCCCAGCCCTGTCCCCTACCCCAGCCCTGGCCCCGGCCCCCGCCCCGGCCCCTGCACCTGCCCCGGCCCCGGGGTCCCGGGAGAGGGCCCCGGGTACCAGGGGAGGTCACAATTAACTTCAGGGTCGGCGGCGCCGGCCGCAAGGCCTTCACCATAAGACTCGACATCGTCACAAATCACGACCAGGATCGAGCCCTATAGACCGCGTCTTTCCGTGGCATCTCTCTAGCCAGATCGATCTGCGCGGGCCCCGGGACCCGCATCTGAACGACCACGCCAAGCTGCGACGTCATCAGGATCTCAGGGAGGGCAAGGAGAGGCGGCGGCGACTGCGGCAGACCCAGACCCCCGACGTCATGATTTCTTCAAAACGTCGACCCCCAGAGGTTTGGACCTATTCTTAAGTCGGGCCTGTCCCTCTACAGGAGGACTACTCAAAAACAGACAAAAAATAGTCTGGCGACGATTTTTTGAACATTCTTTTACAATTTGGGAGCGTTTTTGGGGTATTGATTTTTCGTTTAAAATCCGCCTGCAGGGGGGCATGCCCGACCTAAACCTATTCCCCAGGACCGGTTTCTCATCCCGAGTCGTTTTGTTGGCGGTCCCGAGGCCCAGTAAGGGCCCCCAGGGGCCGAACATGGCGAAAAACCTCCCGTCGTGATTTTTTCACGGCGCGAGGGGGTCTGGGAAGGGGAGGCGGCGGCGACTGCGGCAGAGGCGCTCCATCTCGGCCATCTCGAGCTCCAGCTGAGCACTGCGCGCCTCGACGGGGGGGTGGGTCTTGCTTTTTTCGCTGCACAGAGCCTGCACTGCCCATCAGGTCGGCGGACCTGTTGCCAGGATCCTTTGTGCCCAGGGAAAGAAAGCTCCCTGGCGGAACGGCGGAAACGCGAGGCGACTACTGGATTCGGGGAGAACTAATCACGAAACTGGCAAGCCTCCCACGCCAACCTGACTTGCGTCGCCGACCAGACCCAACCTTTTTTTTTTCGACTCAGCATGCATTGAAGACTGCAAGCTCGTCCTTTCGCCATCACTAGAGAGGTGAGCGGCACCCACAAAGGATGGGGCGTGAGACGAAACCCAGCGGCCCCACGAGCGGCCCCAGAAGAAACCCAACCCTGAGACCCCAGGACGTCAATTGATTTCTGTTGGTGTGGGAACGTCACGCTTTCCATCGCAAAGCCATCGAAACCCAAGAAACCCAGAGGGGCACCCTGGAGGCGAGCAGGGTGTTTCTTGGCATGGGCCTCCACTGTAGCCAGGCGCCTCCATCCCGGATGCCGCTTGAGCCCCCGAGCCCCAAAGGGCCAGGTGCAGCGCGCCGGCATGGACACCCCAGGAGGCCTGAGCGACGAACGCGCACGGACAACCTGCTCCCCCTGAATCGCTCGAGGTGCCTTACGCTCCAGCACATCTCTCCCTGGAGGTGCCCGCTTTTTGCGACCACGCAACTTCGTCGCTCGGATGATCCCAGGCGCGGCACGCCAGGCGAGGCACAATATCGATACCTTCTCGAAGCATGATATTGAAGCCTGATCGAAGCATCCTCACACGTCAAGGCGACAAGCACGATTGGATAGTGTATGACATGACCGAAGGTGGCCACGTACGTCTCCTGAACGAGGTACGCAGGCCACGCTGGCCAGGAAAGCAAATATGACGGAACCACGTTGCTCCAGGATCTGGGCTTACACGCTCATGAACACGTGAAGGCATTCACATGAGAAGGCCCTCATGCATGCACTAGTCTGCAGGGGATCGTTGGCAGATGGCTGCACCGTACCCCAAAACCACCGACAAGGCAGACACTTGGCGCTCACGTACTACGCACACATAATGTGGCACAGTAGGTTTGGATTCAGCCCGTGGTCAAATCAGCCTGTCGAAGGGCCAAGCCCAATGCAGCTGCGCGTAGCGCAGGGCATGGCCCTCTCTTCATATGCTGCGTGCCACGGGGCAGTGTGGATAGGGGCGCGGATGCGTTGTGCGAACGCCCTCGCTGTTGTCGTAGGGGGGGAGCTCCCTGGTGAGGGGGTTCCAGAAATTAACGGGGAGACGCCATGCGAACGCCCTCACTGGGGCCGTTGGCGGAGCTCCCGATGGGATCCGCGGACGCCCTCACTGGGGCGGTAAGTGAAGCTCCCCATGGTGGCACGATCCGTGTCAGGGATGTGCCGAAACTGGCGGGGGGACGCCAGGTGAACGCACACACTGGGGTCCTAGGGGGAGATCCCTGGTGAGGGCACGATCCGAATAACAGATGTGCGGGGCGGCGCTATACATGCGAATTACACCTGAGAAAACCCCAATCAATGGATGGCATTCCTTGAGAAGATCGACCGGGAACCCGGGAGCCCCCGTGAACCCAGAACCCACCGAAGTCGGCATGGAACCAATAACCCGGAACCCGGGAACCCGCAACCGGAAAGCCAGGAACCCAGCCTGCTACCAGAATCGGCAGGAAGCTTTCGCCAAATCTGTCAATTTCTGCTAGGACCCCTTCAGTGCAAGCACTGATTGGGGAACGACCTCACTGGGTCCATAGGTGGAGCTCCCCATGGAGGCACGATGCGCGCGAGTGGTGTGTCGAAGCTGGCAGGGCGGCGCCATGTGAACGCTCTCGCTGGGGCCGACGGGGGGGCCCCCTGCGGGGGCACGATCCTCGTGAGGGGTGTTGCCGAAATGGCCGGGGCGACGCTCTGTGAACGACCTCGCTGGGGCCGTCGGGGGAGCTGCCTACGGGGCACGAGACGTGTGAGTGGTGTGCCGACGTTGGCGAGGGCAGGAGGCCGAGGAGGGAGCGGGGAGGGAGGAGACGCGCGGCACTGCGGAGTCAGAGCGAGGAACTAACACCGCAGGAGGGGTGGGAATAAGCAAACGGCGGTGCCAAGGCAGCCAAAAGCTGACGCATGGCAGTGAGAGTATCCTCTGCCCACGGAGCCGGAAGAGTCTCCGAGCGGATGAGGGTATGTATCAAATTGCGCATTTGGATCACGTAGGAGCAACTGCTCCCAATGCACATATCCCCAGGGCAGCGACAGCCTTGTCCTCCTCCCCCTTATCGCCCCCGATCCGTACCCATGAACAATCAGTCCCACTCGCCTCTTCCTCCTCTCCCTCCTTCTCCACTCGTCATCTCATTCTCCCCCTTCCCCACCTCCCCCCCCTCCCCCATACCCATCCCGCTTCCCCAACCCAATCTCCCTTAACCCCCCTCCCTTAGCCCCTTCACCTGGGTCCCAGGCTCAGAGGTCGCCAGAGCCTTAACGCAGTTGTTTCAGAATTCGCGTTCACTCCCCAAGAAATCTGGCCCAAGGCAAAGGGATCGATTCCCTTGGGAAGTTTTAGCGCCGCCCCGGACCTGGACCCCAAAAGGTCCTTGGAGGTCCCCGAAGGGCTCCAGGGGCCACCTGGTGGCCCCCAAAAAAACACAAACGTCCGAATCCTCCTGGAGCACCGTGGGCAGAACTTGCGTAGCAGCCCCCGCCCCTTCCCAGCCTTCTCCTGCTCCACGTGGGAGAGGAGCAAGCTCTTCGCTTCCTGCTCCTTCCTGAGCATGTCCTCGGAGCGGAGGGGGGAGACCCGAACGAGGGCCCCAGCAAGGGCGGCCTTTGGAACGGTGGGCACGAGCGAACGAGCGAACACCTCTGGGGAGGGCGCACAAGACGAGGACCCGCCTGTCTTGGATCGGATCGCGGCCATCACACGCGGTGGTGACTCGACAACGAGCCTGCAATGAGGAGCACACAGCGGTGCGGGAAATGGCTGGGTCGCGCGCCATTGCCAAGACTTTCCAGTTGCGTGACGCCTGAGCGCGCACGCACCCATCATCCTAGCAGGACAAGCGCAACCTTCTCGGTCGAGGGCCACATCCTGCCACTCAAGGCGACCAGCCTGCCCACACGCACACGAGGGCGCCCCATGGGAGAGGAGAAGGAAACGCCATCGGAGGCTGGGGAGGCCCCCCTCCGAGTAGAAGACATACTGGGCCATCCTGCGCCGAGGTACAGAATGCCAGGTGAGGTCGGGGCCCAAACGACGCACCCACTCTGAAAGGCGGCAGGGGGGAAGGGAGAGAGCAGAGCTCATGTTCTGCACAGCAGGTGCGAACATTAAGAACTCAAGGAGCACGCCTGACGTCCATGCTTGGCCTTCCCAAACCCTCCAAAACTCCCACCAGCCCTCTGAGCGTGGGTGGCTTGGCGAGATTGTTCTTCCAGCCAGCTTCTTCCCCGTCGGGGACGGGTTCACGACAAGAAACACCCCCTCCACCACTCGACCGGTCGCCGACTCCGCAACATCCCCACTATAAAAATAAAAAAGCACGCGGCGACAACGTCCAAATCATGAGCCTGCACCCTGCGAACACTTTGCATGGGTTTTGGCAAAGATCACAAGGGTGGATCATGGGTTTCCGCTTTGTGCTCGCCGAGTATATGTACCAAAAGCCTATGCAAACTGCTTGCGGGTGCATACACAACATACACCATGCTCAGCACCCCGCCCGCCACGTTGCATAGTTGTCTTGACAGGGATGCAGGGGGGGCCGACTGTTTTCCCCGATGCGCGCTACTACGTGCACCGGCGCGCCTGTCGCCGCCTGGCGTACTCTGCGCGCGTCGCACGCGTGGCGCACCCGGCGCGGACCGAGCACAGGACACACTGGAAGCACGCCGCGCATCTGACGCACCAGGCACGCCTGGCACGCTTGGGCCCCCGGGTCACCTGGCAGGCCTGGTGCGCGTGGCGCACCCGACGCCCGTGGCGCACCGCGCGAGCGCCGCGCACCCCTGGCGTTTGAGGCGGTTCCCCCGTGGCTGTTTATCCGATGGCGCAGGTGGGTGGGAATGGGCGAGACAGCTCGTGGCGCTCCCGTTGGGGTCTTGTGGGTCTGGGTGGTGGCGGGGCGCGAATAGCTAGAGCGACGAAGGAGGCCCAAGATGGCTCCAGGGTGGCCTCCGACATCCCAAGATGGCCCCCTGTATGGCACACGATAACCCAAGATGCCTCACATGGCCTCCAACGTACGTCCAAGAGGGTCCAAGACCGCCGCAAGACGGCTCCAAGTGCCCAGGCAGCCTGGCAGAGATACCCCCGAGGGGCTAAAATTCGTCAAGACCCTAAGGTGGTTCAGTGATATGTGCATTCTCGCCGTCTCGCAGTGCCGAGCTCGTGGAGGCTGGTAGTCGATTGGTGGAGATGAAGGTGGTAAGTTGAGTGCTGGAGGCTGAAGGTCGGAGTGCTGAGCTGATGGAGGTTGGAGGTCGACAGTTGGGGGTGGAGGTGGTAAGTCGAATGCTGGAGGCTGCAGGTAGTAGTGCTGAGCTGGTGGAGGTTTGAAGTCGATGGTTGGAGGTGGACATGTGAAGTTGGTTGCTGGGGGCAGGAGGAGGAGGAGGAAGAGAAGAGAAGGAGGAGGCCGAGCAGGAGGCAGGAGGAAGGCCTCAGTCAGAGCGAGGAGGAAAGGGCGAGGGGGAGACAGGAAGAGGGCCTCCACTATCACGAAGACAACGATGAGGGTTACTCTTCAAAACCACTTGGGAGGATTATCATGTGGGGTCCTACCATCGGAGAAGTTAGAACAGCTGGCGGAAACACGCGACGCGTCAATAATGTCTGTGAGGCTCCTACTGGCAGGCTCATTTCTTAGTCGCAGATGCGCTGGATGAAGGGAGACGCGCAGTGGGGGGGAATACGCAGCGCTGGCCAGCGGAAGGCCGCCACGCGTGAGAAAAGACAGCGCCCCAGGAGACCGAGGGGCGCTCCGATGAAGAACAACACACTCTCCCGACCACAGTGGAATCAAGCACACAGCACTCGGCGATATTGGATACCTGAACGACCAATGTGGGGACGCGACGAGGGGGAACAGAGGAGTCGTGCTCGCACTGTGCAGCTGTAGATGGGAGGGGAAAAAGGCTTCTGGAAGTCCTCCGGCGGTGTCCAAGGGCCCCAGGCGACAGGGATGGCTCCGAGGGAGCCCACGAGGCCGCCAAGATGGCCCCAGGCAGACCACGGACCACAACGCAGCTCTCACACTCAGCGGCTGGCACGACGGAGGGAAGTGGAGCCGCGCCAGTGGACAAGCCTAGAGCGCTCCTCCTCCTCCTCCTCCTCCTCCTCCTCCTCCTCCTCCTCCTCCTCCTCCTCCTCCTCCTCCTCCTCCTCCTCCTCCTCCTCCTCCTCCTCCTCCGCGGCAAAAGCCTGCTGCATGCGAGCACGCGTGTCCCAGACCCGCAGGCGCGCTCCGAACGAAGCCCAAGAGGGCCCAACGACACGCCCCCAAGACGGGCAGACCCATCGAAGACGCAGCAGCACGGGCATTTCTGGCATCCGGGCTGCACTGGACCATGGAAGAGGCAGGGATCATGACAGCGGTAAGGAGCAAAGGATAAAACGGTGAGGGAAAACGGAGGAGCAAGCAGAGTAGAGAAACATCACGCCCGATCCGCTTCTGCGAAGCAGAAGCATATGGCTCCTCTCTCTCTCACTCTCACGCTGGCCCCCAGTGTATGACTTCACGTGCGCTCAGCGTGATGATTGTCACGGTGACTGTCCAAGAAGGGGATGGGAAAAATAGCAAAAGCGAATACAATCAAAGTCTTGTCATAAGGAGCCCCACGTCGGGAATGAAGCCTATCTCCTTTCGCTTCCCTCCCCCTCCTCCTGGACTGTTTTCGTCCTTTCTGAGAAAAGGGAGGGGAAAGAGGTGGATGTGTGCAGTTCTCCTCCTCCGAAAGCCCCTTTTTCCGGGTGAGCACCAACGAGGAGCGCCAGAGAAACATGCTGAGCAGAGACCTGAGGGAGCACCGAGCCCCTTCCGAACCCCGAGCGGCCCTGCATCCAGCATTCCGACAGGAAAGATCAACGAGAGGATGCAAGACTCTGAGCGACCTGGGCTGGTACGAAAACTATGGGCACACTGCCCAACAATCGAACCTGTCCAAGTGAACCAGAGAAGCTGGCAATCTCGACAAGAGCAGCTGACAAGTGAAACAGAAAAGCTGCCAACTGAACAAGACATGCTGACACAATAACAGCAACTCCTGCCCCGAATGAACAGCAACTGCTGTCGGAACTTGCACCCACTTCTTCAGTGCCCCTCCTGGGCGCACAGGAAGGCGTGGGGCCGTGGAGATCCCTGGGTCACCTAACTTCACGGCGAACTAGAGATCTGACCCAGGAGGTCCTCCATCTCCTTTTTCTCCGCCTCCAGAGCCTCGATCTGGTCCCGGCGGTCCACCTGATTCCTCGGGGCCGGCGACGACAGGGGCCAGGGGCGTAGCCACATGTGAACCCTACCCCCCACGATCTCGGAGGGGGGGGATGGGGGTTCCTTCCGCTCGGGAGCTCCCGAACGAAGCGCACCCCCAACCCCCCCTCAGAAATCGTAGGAGGCGGGGGCAGGGTTCACATGTGGCCACCGGGCCAGGAGAGCGAGCGGCAGGAAGAGGCCACAGGAGGACCCAAGAGGCCTCCGGCCGCCCGCGGCCCTCCCCGACCTCGTGTGGAGAGGCTCCCGCCTCCGGGCAGCACCGGTCAGCATGGGCGCAGGGAACCGGGTAGCATCGCAACGTGCGCTGGCTCGGGCTGCATCGGCACGCAGTCGAGATCGAGGCGGACCCTTGGAGGAATGCCCGAGTCCCAGACCCCCGACGTCATGATTTTTTCACTGCGTCGCCCCCCCGCTCGACGTCTCGACCTATCTATTCCCTGGGACCGGCTAGCCATCCCGAGTCGATTTTTGACGGTCCCGAGGCCCGGCAAGGGCCCCCAGAGACCGAAAATGGCGAAAAACCTTGCGTCATCATTCTTTCATTGCTCGAGGGGCTCTGGGGTGTCGGATCAGAGCTGGGCCGGCTGGGATCGACATCGAATCGCAGCGGTATCGGAGTGGGCTCTGCCAGGGGGGGGGGGGGCGGGGGGCGGGAGAGGCGTGGCCAGAACGGAGCCGCGGTAGCTGGGGGGAGGCCCAGGGGCGGCCGGGAGACGGGCCCCAGGAGCCCAGGGAGGGGGGGAGCCGAGCGCCGGGCCCGAGGGCGGAACGATGGAGCGGGGCCCGAGCTGTGCAGAAATCCTTCGCCAGCGAACAAAATCGAGGCCCGCGGGATGCTGCCTCAGCTCGAGCTGTGGTCCGAGTCCGCGGGGGCTCAAGATTGACTCAGGAAGGATTTGACCGGCCCACCCCTTCTAGGCCCCCTGGCCAAGCTCAAGCGCCTCAAAACTCTTCCACCCCACAACCGAGTACGCCATGGAGTTCGAACGACCTCCTGGGAGAGCAGACGCCCGACGCCTGTTCCACTGAGCTCACATCTGGACCCAAAGAGGTGGCGGAACTCGACCATCTTGGCACTCGCCTTGCAGGGGCGCTGTGCAGGAGAGGGGGGAGGCAAAGGGAGGCAGAGGGAGGAGGAGAAAGAGGAGAGGGAGTGGGGGAAGACAGAGAAAGAGAACGAGAGAGAGAGAGAGCGAGAAATGGAGGGGGGGAAAGCAGGAGGCACAGCGTCGGGATGCACCCCGCAGCACAAGTAGCCCGAACACCCGCACCGCTGCCAAGCCCCTGCCCCTCGCCCAACAGACAGGGCGGCCGGGCTGCAGAGAGCAGCGTCCGGGGCGGCGATCGAGGGGGGGCGCCGCGGGGCTCGGGAGGGCGGCGCGGCGGCCCGCGGCGACTTGCAGGCGGCACTGCACGTGAGGGGCCAGGAGGGCGGAGGGGAGGAAAACGGCGACCGTGACCAAGACAAAGCGCGAGGCGTCGGCGCTGGTCCTGGTCGTCGTCCGTCCTGGTCATCCTCAACTCGCGGAGATCATGCTCGCGAAACGGCGGCGCCTGGCAGGAACTCTGACCGAGATCGGCGTCGACGACGGCTTGGCCATGGTCGTCGTGCTTCCTCCCCCGAGGAGCCGGAGGAGCGGGAGAGGTAGCGCGTCGGGAGGGGAGGCGCGCCGCGCCAGTCACCGCCGACCGCCGCTCGGCCCGTCGGCAGATCGCCCGCCTGCCTCGCTGCCCGAGCCAAGGGCACGCGGTTCCCTGCCCGGGGGAGAGCCGACGCTGGCCTGCGGCCGAGAGGAGACACCACCACGGCTTTCCTGAGGCTGGCGGGACTCGTGCGCAGGCGGAGCAGGGAAGAGAGAGAGAGAGAGAAGAGGGTGCTGCCGCGAAGGAGTCGGGGGCGGCCAACAGGGGAGCGACCCAGGGGGGGGGCGCAAATCACGGCCGGCGGCATGCACAATGAAACAAGAAGAGGCGCCATGAAATCTGGGGAGATATCACGGCCCCCGCCATAGTATCCACCCCCACCCCAGTCTTCACCCCCCTCTTGGCCGCTCCCGAAGGAAGCGGGTCATGGTGGAGACGCGTCCTGGACCCCAGGGCTCTCCCCCTGGGACACGTTCGTCACCCCGAGGCGCTTCCTGACAGAGCCCGGGGCCCGCGGAGGGCCCGTGGAGGGCCCCGGAGAACGGCGACTGATCTCGGGGCCCGTTTCCCTCAGGACCCCTTGGCTTCACGGCGACGTGTGGAGCAGGAGCAGGAGGAGGAGGAGGAGGAGAAGGAGGAGGAGGAGGAGGAGGAGGAGGAGGAGGAGAAGGGGGGGGGGCAGGAGGAGGAGGGGGGGGTGGAGAAGAGGGGGGAGGAGGGAGGAGGAGGAGGAGGAGGAGGAGGGGAGGAGGAGGGGGAGGAGGAGGAGGAGGAGGAGGAGGAGGAGGAGGAGGAGGCGGGAGAAGAACGTGGGGTGAAGGGAGCAGCGGCGAGAAGGGCAGGCGGCCGGGCCAGAAGGAGCGGCGGGAGCGGCCACGGAGGCAGCGGGATTCGGGGACGGGAGGGGGGTGGCCGCATCACATTGGGCGCCCGGGCGCGCGAAGGGCCGGTCGGCGGCGGGCAGCAGAGGCGGACTGGGCCGCGGAAAACAGAAGCGGGTGCCGTGGGCTCACTGAGAGCAAACACGATCGCACAAGGCAGCTTGATCACGATACTCACTAACAGTGATCCTGATCGCTAAAAGCAACATGATTGGTTCTCAGTGAACACTTCTGCTGGAAACTTTCCTATAGGGAAGAAGTCCGGCCCCATAACAAGCACCCCAACAGGCGAAGCCGTTTAGAAAACGCACCCAAGGAGGTGATCGAACAGGGCAGGGCTGTTTCAGTGCACGCCCAGGGCCGTTCAGTAAACACCCATTCTCGGAGTCGGGGTGTTTTTTCCTCCTTGATTTCCTGCTTGACATGAGCTCGTGCTTGCTGTCAGCGAGAGCACGAGAGGAGGGGCTGGCGGCGGCAGCGGCGCGGGCGGGCGGGCGGCGCTCTTCGCGGCGCTCGTCGCGATCATCTTGCACCTCGACGCGAACTCGAGCGTGGACACGGACTCCTCCGGCTGCGCCCAAGCGGCGTCGGAGGATCGCACCGTGTCGTCGGCGCATCAGCTACTCTGTCGGTGCCGTCTCGGTGACCCTCAGAACGTGCGTCAGCGCCAACGCGTGCTTGTCCACCGAAGCCCTTCCGTGCGACGCGAGTGGTGTGTGATGAGGACCGGCACAGGCAACGCGCTACGATTGGAGCTGAACAGAGCAAGCACACATTAGGCTTACACACGTCCTACAGATCATCGACCTTCGGGATGGAGAAGATCGGGCTCCGGATCGCCCCGCACTGCCGGTGCATCGACGGTGCGGCGCGATCCTCCTAAAGATATCGTGCTGCAACGTGGAACAGTGAACAAAGAACAAAAGGGCTTTTCTATGCTTTTCTGGCCACAGTTAGTCTCGGCCACGAAGAGGTTCCCCAGCCCGAGTCTGGGGAGCGGCCCGAAAACCAGAGACCTTCCTGAGCCCGAAGGTGGTACTTACAGGCCTCGAAATAAACAGCGAACACTCATGCCACATTCATCTGTCAACGCCTCCCTCTCCCCACAATGTTCAAAGTTGGCGGTGGGTCTGATGAGTTGCACCTCGACCGCAGTCTCCCCCTCGCGTGCCAACTTTGAGTTTGGGGGGGAGGGGGAGTGTTCAGTAATTGTTTCCCTCTACCGTACCCTGTCTGCTCTGGCACTCCAGCCCCATTCGGGCAGCTCCAGGGGGCGTTGTAGGGGGAGGGGGGCGGCCCTGTGTAAGAAGGCGCAGGGCACCTCAGAAGGGACCCAGGGGGGCTTCCGAGAGGGGCTCTTGTTTTTGAACGAAGCATCCACAGAGTTAGATGTAGGCCCTCTTAGCTCACACGCGTGCCGTTCGCATCACGAGCCAAGTGAAAAGATCGCCAGCAGATTCGCAGCCCCAATCGAGAGGGGTGAAGGTCAACGCTGCACTTCCCAACGCTGCACCGCCCAGGCCGAAGCTGCAACTCAAAAGCACTGTCACGGCACATCACCAGCTTCGGAGAAAGGCTCCTGAAAAGACAAGAAGCCTGCCAAGAATCCCACATGCATATTCTGCAGTCTCCCACCACCACCCTACGACCCCCCCGACCAAGACCTGCTCAAGACCGGTCCGCGGAGTGTTGCGTGGTCCACCCTGGGCAGCCTTACGAACCGCGTCCAGCCGGGGCGGCGACCATCTCCAGAACACACACACACAGGGGAAAAAAAAAAACAAGTCGTCGTCGTCGTCGTCGTCGTCGTCGTCGTCGTCGTTCTCGCCCTCGTCCTCGTCCTCGTCCTCGTCTCCGTCCTCGTCCTCGTCCTCGTCCTTGTTCTCGTCGTCGTCATCGTCGTCGTCGTCCTTCTCGCGTTACCTCCCTTCGGCGCGCCACTGGCTCCTCTTGGTTGTACATGGAGGGGCTGATGCAGGCGATCAGCACGGTCCTCGTAAGGAGGAGGAGGAGGAGGAGGAGGAGGACTTCGGGTTCGGCACTCTGCTGCTCTAGGGGCTCAACGGCAACAACTCGTCACCCTCATGAGACCGCGGAGAAGAAGCTCCGACAGAGCGCCTGTGACCGCCCTTGAGGCTGATGTCACAGGCCTACCGCGCCGTCATGGCCTCTGAGAAGTCGTGAGATGTGTGTCTGGGGGCGGGGGCCTTGCACACCCCATAGATGTCGAGCGGTCAGGGGTGCTGCTCGAGTGCTCTCGAGCAGACCGCCACGTACACCCACTCAGAATCGACGGAATGGCCGAGGGAGGAGGAGGAGTACGCACGCGGAACCACAGGAGAACGGGATTGTAAAGGCGGGATTGCAGAAGGCGGGAGGATGAGAGAAAGGATTGACTGCACGAGGAGATCAGCACGGTCCTCGTGGCGCGCCCCAGGCTCCTTTTCGTGATCCTCACAAATTATGTTTGACGTCCTCCTCCTTCTCCTCCTCCTCCACCTCCTCCTCCTCCACCTCCTCCTCCTTCCTCCACCTCCTCCTCCTCCTCCTCCTCCTGCTCCTCCTCCTCCTCCTCAGCATCAGCATCATCAGCATCATAAGCATCATCAGCATCATGATCATCCTCATCATCCTCATCATCATCATCAACAACAACATTATCATCATCATCATCATCATCATCATCATCATCATCATCATCAGCAGCAGCAGCATCATCATCATCATTACCATCATCATCATCATCATCATCAGCATCATCATCATCATCATCATCATCATCATCATCATCATCATCATCATCATCATCATCATCATCATCATCCTCTTCCTCCTCCTGCCCCTCCTCCTCCGTCTCTGCTGGATGTGCAAGGCCTGCTTTCATGTGCTCGAGGATATTCTGAAGAGTAGGAGGAGGAGGAGGAGGAGGAGGACGACGACGACGACGACGGAGGAAGCGAGGGATGGCGGAGGGGGGAGAGCAGCGGGGAGGACACAGAGAAAGGGAGAGAAAGAGGAGGACTGGGAGGACGACGAGAAGAGCGAGGGGCCATCCCCAGCCGCCTCGAGTTCCCGCTCAGCGCCTCCTTCAGCAGGAGGGTCAGCTTCGACTCCCGGAAGGGCGCCGGCCCGCCCTTCTTGGAGGACGAGAGCGCCGAGATCACCTCCGGGCGCGCGCAGGCCCCGCGGCTGGAGCACGCGAGGGAGGCAGCGGCTGCCGGGGAGCCCAGGACTCTGGCGATGTGGCTGCTTCCTCCCCGGCGGTCTTCCGAGACCTCGGCCTCCGGGGCCCGTTCAAAACCGATCGGCTGCATGCAGGAGCGGCCTCTGGGAAAGGGCAGCCTCTGGTGCGCGGCCTCAGGCGCCGCGGGTGGGCCAGATCCAAGCGCGCAGGCCGATGCTGCAGGGGCTTCATGGGGGCCCCTGAGGGCCCGCACCAGAGGTCACTCCAGCGAATGGTCGCTCTAACGCGTAGCCGAAGCGGGCCCACGGTGAGAAAAAAAACACCCAGGGAAGGGGTCAGGACCCCTGGGGGCGCGGATTGAAGAAGTCGCGTCGTCGGCTGTCTGGGGGGGGGGGGGGGAGGCGCGGGGGCAGCGGCAGCAGGGGAGCAGAACTGAGCCTCACTCAAGCGATCCCCATCCCCAGTGGCATGGCCTCGGGCCCCCCTGGCCGACTCACCCCCTCCCCCAGGCGGGGGTGTGCCGCTCCCTGCGGACTTCGCGGGGCCTGCCCTCCACTGGGGGCCGACTCGCCCCCTCCCCCCAAGGTGGGTGTGCGATGCTCCCCGCGGGCGTCGCGGGGCCTGCCCCCCCCCACCTGGGGGGACGTGGTGGCCCGGTCCCCGGCGCCGTGCTGCTGCGCGCCGCGTGGACCCCGGAAAAAGGTAGGCCCCTTCCCACGGGACCGGCTGCTCCGCCCGAGCCGTTTCTCGAGAGTCGGGGGGGGGGGGCCAGAGGCCCCCCCAAGCAAAAAACATAACCTTCCGTCGCGATGTCTCGCTACTCGAGAGGGCCTGGGGGGGGGGGGCTGAGATACCCAGACGTCCCGCGTCCCGACTTTTTGTGGCATGAGCCTCCGACCTCTCGACCGCTTCCCCAGGACCAGTTGCTCAGCCCGAGCAGTTCCCTGACGGTCCCGAGGCCCAGCAAGCGCCCCGAGAGGCCGGAAACTGTGAAACACCTCCGCCTCGATTATTGCGAGACGCTGGACATCTTGGCTGCACGCGAGAGTGACCCTAGGCAAGAACGACCTTTGGTGCGCGGCTTAACGGGGGTCGCGGGGTGGCCAAACCTGGGCGCGCAAGCCGCTGCTACCGCTTCGCATTCAGCCATCTGGGGACCCATCTGTGCCCGCACCAAAGGTCACCCCGGCGACAGGTCACTCTTACGTCTAATCGAGACGCCTGGGCGCCCTGGCCCAGTGGGGGGGCTGGGGTGGGCCAGACAATGCTGCAAGCCGATGCCAGAGGGCTCGTTTTCCAAGGTCCTGCGGGGCCGGCTCCCTCGCCCAGCGCCGGTGCCCGCGGGGCCCTCCCCGCGGAAGCAGCGCGGGGGGCGGGAGCAGAAGTTGCCCCCCCCCAGGGAGGGGGGCGTGGCCCAGGTATCCGACGGCAGGTTTTTGTCCCCGTCCATCCTGTGGCGTTGGGTCCTCGCTTTGAAGCAGCAGCGACACGCAGCCCTCCCTCCTCCCTCCCTCCTCCCTCCTCCCTCCTCCCTCCTCCCCCTCCTCCTCCTCCTCCTCCTCCTCCTCCTCCTCCTCCTCCTCCTCCTCCTCCTCCTCCCCTCCTCCTCCTCCTCACTCCTCCCTCCTCCCCTCCTCCGCCTCACTCCCTCCTCCTCCTCCCTCCCTCCTCCTCCTCCCCTCCTCCCTCCTCCTCTCCCTCCTCTCTCCTCCTCCCCTCTCCTCCTCCCCCTCCTCCCCCCTCCTTCCCCCTCCCCCCTCCCGACCGTCGGGCCCAGAGGGGCCTGGCCCTCGCCCCGCAGCGGGGGCTCGACCCCTCCTTCGTGGACAGCCGGTGCGATCCGATCTTCCCCCCCCCTCAAAGATGCGATCCGATCCTTTCCCCCCCCACCGCCCAAAGATCCCACGCTCCCCAAAAAAAATGGGAGCGGGCGGTTTTTGACAGCTTTCGGCCTCTGGGGCCCCTCGCCCGGCCTCGGGACCGCAACAGAAACGGCTCGGGCCTTGAAAAACCGGCCCTGGGGAAGGGGTCAAGACCTCTGGGGCCCACGCACCGAAAGAATTGGAGCAGCCAGATGTCTGGGCCCCCCCCCTCTCCTCCTCAACCCGCCTCTGATTTCGACGCACCCCTCGCCGGCTTCATGACTCCACAGGGAGCCAAAACTAAGGCCCAAATGCCAAAGTTCACAGGAGCTCCCGCCTCTCATTTCGGCACACCTATCCCACGCTTCGTGGCCCCATAGGGAGCTCCAATTTAAACCGAAATCATATAAGCTCCCGCCCCTCATTTCGGCACACCCATCGGACGCTTCGTGGCCCCCGAGGGAGCCCCAATTCATGCCACACTGCCAAAATTCGCAGGAGATCCCGCCGCTCACTTCGGCACACCCCTCGCACGCCTCGTGGCCCCAAGGCCGAAAGTTCACATGGGTTCCCGCCTCTCCTTTCGGCAAACCCCTCACACTTTCGCGGCCCCATAGGGAGCCCCAAATGAAGCTCAAATGCCCAATCTCACTGAGCTCCCGGCACACCCCTCGCACGTTTCGTGGCCCCACTAGCCCCACCAGGAGCCCCAACGAGGGCCCAAATGCCAAAGTTCACATGAGTTCCAGCCTCTCCTTTCGGCACGCCCCTCGCACGCTTCCTTGCCCCACAGGGAGCCCCAACTGAGGCCCAAATGCGAAAGCTCATAAGAGCTTCTGGGCTCCGTGGCCCCGTAAAGGGCCCCAACTAAAGCCCAGTGCCAAAGTTCACTTGAGCTCCCGCCTCGCAGTTCGGCACACCTCCCGCACGTTTCGTGCCCCACATGGGGCCCCAGTAAGGCGCAACGCAAGAGCTCCCGCCTCCCATTCCGACAGACCCCTCACACGCTTCGTGGCCCCATGGGTGGCCCAACGAAAGCCCAATGTCAGAGATCACAAGAGCTCTCGCCTCTCATTTCGGCACACCCCTCCTACGCTTCGTGGCCCCATCCTGAAGGAGCCCCAACTCGAATGCCGAAATGCCAACCCCCACACGAACTCCCGTTTTTGATTTCGGCATACCCCTCCCACGCTTCGTGGCCCAATATGGAGCCCGAACTAAAGCCCAAATGCCAAAGTTCACAGGAGCTCCCGCCGCTCATTTCGGCACATCTCTCCCGCGCATCGTGGCCCCATAGGGAGACCCAAGTACGGACAGAATGCTAAACTTCATATGAGCTCCCGCCCCTCATTTCGGCAAATCCATCGCACCCTCCGTGGCCCCCTAGGGAGACATAATTAATACCACACTGCCAAGGTTCGCAGGAGATCCCATCTCTCCTTTCGGCACACACCCACGCGCTTCGTGGCCCCATAGGGAGCCCCAAATAAAAATCAAATTCCATGGTTAGCAGAAGTTCCCGCCTCTCGTTTCGGCTCACCCCTCGCACGCTTCTTGGCCCCAATAAGGAGCCCCAACTAAGAGGCCCAGTGCCAAAGATCACATGATTTCCCGCCACTCGTTTCGTCACACCCCTCGCAGGCGTCGTGGCCCTATAGGGAGCGCCAATCAAGGACCAAACGCCAGCGTGCGCATGCGATCCCGCCTCTCACGTCGGCACACCCATCACACGGTCCGTGGCCCCGTAAAGGGCCCCAACTAAGGCCTCCATGCCACGGTTCGCACGAGCTCCCGCCCTCCATGTTGGCACCCCCTCATTGGCTTCGTGGCCTCGTCAACAGCCCCAATTTGCATGAGCTCCCGCCTCTGAAGTCGGCACACACACACACACACACACACACACACACACCTTGCACGCTTCGTGGCCCCGTGATGACAGTGGGCCCCAACTGAGGCCCAAATGCCACGGTTCGCGTGAAGTCTCTCGGGGCGACCAGCACGCGTCGCAGGGACTCCCCATTCGCTGTGCCTCCGCGAGCTGCCCTTGCGCCTTGGAACGGGGGCGACGTCTGTATATCTTGCGGGTGCCGGGAAGAAAGCGCTCTCCGAACATCCGCTCGCTCCCCGGCTCGCCCCCCCATCACGCCGTGTTGTCGTTCGCCCCTGTACACCCCCTCCGTGCCCCAGTCCTTGTTGCTCGCTCCCCCCCCTTGTGGCTCGCAGCTGCGCGTGGTTGGGATCTGCGCCAGGAGAATCCAACCGGCCGTTGTTCTTCGACTGCGGCCCTAGGATCCTCAAACATGGATCTGCGATAGCACACTGCCCCCCAGGGAGGCAGTCGGCCGCGGATTGAAGAGATACCCCAGCATGGCACCCTGCTCGCGGCAGAGGTGAAGAGGCGGATCGAGGAACGGGACCACAGGGGACGGGGGCGAGAGCACGGCCACGTGCACCTTCTGAGCCTTCTCTTAGGGTGGAGGGCTCAGGGTGAAATCCATATGGGCTTTTGCACCTCGAAAATCAATCCGTCTTGTGATTCACCTTCTGCAGGTTCAAGCCTCGAAGATTAATCGAAACGGCATTTCAGATTTCACCCTTTGCCCTCCACCCAACGAACATGCCCGGACCTTGGCGCATCCGTTTGCACAGGGGCCCTGACGGTCTGGACCGAAGCTGCAGCCGGCCCTGAGGCGAGGGCACGGCTCTTGAAGACACCTCCCGCGCGGCGGCTGCCGGCACCGGGCGGGCACGGGCTCCCCGTCCCCCCGCCGTGGGATTCTGCCTGTGGAATGTGGTCCTCCTTCAGCACCGCGAGAGCCCCACAGCGAAACGCCCATCAGGGAGCCCTGCCCAGCGGTCGGAAGAAGCAGGCAGAAACATGAAGCAGGAGGGCGTTGAAAGCAGATTGGGCTCCGCCCGCCCCCTGAGGAGGACGGAACAGCTTGAAGCCACTCGATCACTGAAGTAGGAAGGCGCCGAAAATAGACGGGAATCTGGAACTCCAAACATACCTGCTTTCAACGACCGACGGCTACTGGCGGATGTCAGGGGACCGGGCACGGGCACCGACCCTGGCCGGGCCGCTCCTGGGCGAAGAGATCGGCGTGCGTGCGGTCGGGAACTCGGGCCAACGTCGTGTCGCGGCGGCGGCCGTCGCGGCACGCCGCGCCTCGCAAGCGGGCAGCGTGTCGCTCCGCGCCGCAGGGCGGGAGGCTGGGAAAAGCTCAGGACGTTGACGCCTGTGGACTGGGGCGCGATTCGCATGTCGCGCCGTAGCGTGGTGGGCCAGAACAGGCAACGCGAGACGCGAAGCAGACGTTCCTGACCGCATGTAGACATGGATGGGTGGCAATCCTGTCAACAAACCTGGCTCCCGACTGAGGCTACCTTACACATCATATGGGCGTGAGGCCTATACCAGCTGCACGAGACTGAGGACGGACACTTTTCAGAATCGAGCTCTCGCCTGCAACATCTCTCTCTCTCTCTCTCTCTCATTCTCTTTCTATATATGCTGCGGTGCGGAAGCTTGAGAAATCAACGGCTGCGTGGGTGGAGTGGAGGTCGGTCCTTGTTCTCGCCTCGGCGCCACGCACATGTCTGAGCTCATGTCGTCACGGAAACCGACTCCCCGTCAACAGACATGCGAGGTCACGGAAAGAGCGAGGAGTACGAGGGGCGAAGCCCTCTTGGGAGGGGCTTCAAAAGGTAGGTGCGAAGCGCGAACGTCCAGGCGTCACACGCGCGCCCTCGTCCAAGACGACCAAGACGGCCTCAGATACCCCCATGACGGCCCAAGGGAGGTCCAAGCCCATGGGAGGTCGCGACGAGGGCCAAAGAGGGCCCCGAGAGGGCCCGAAGACGGGCCAAGTCCCAAAGACGGCCCAAGAGGCTCCCGAGACGGCCCACGAGCCTCCCCAGAGGACCCCCCAGGCGGCCCGAGGAGGCAAAAAACATTGATGTTCCATAAGGTTGTTCATTGTGTTTTGGGTGTTCGCCTTTTCGGGCCCAGGTCGGCCGAAGACGGCTCTGAGGGCCCCCACGGCTGCCGCAAGACGGCCGAGGAGGCTTCCAAGAGGGCCCCCAGACGGCCCAAGAGGCCCCCAGGACGGCCACAGAAGGCCCTCAGGAAAGCCCCAGAGTGCCACGGGAGGCCCCACAGAGGATGCGAGAGGACCCGAAGAGGGCTCCAAGCCGACTGAAGCCCCCGAAGAGGCTCCAAGGACGGCGCACGAGTCTCCCAAGAGGACACTCGAGGCGGCCTGAGGAGGCCAAAAACCTTGATTTTCCTTAGGGTTCCATTGTCTTTTGGATGATCGCTTTTTCGGGCCCAGATCGGTCGAAGACAGCTCTGAGGGCATCGATGCTGCCCCAAGCCGGCCCCGGAGGCCCCCGAGAGCCCAAAAACGGCCCCAGAGGGCCCCAGGATGGCCACAGCGAGCCGCAAGACGGAGTAAGAGGAGCCCAAGAGGGCCCCAAGAGGCCCCCAAGAGAGTCCCAAGAGTGGCGTCGAAGACCCCCAAGAAGGCCGAAGATGACCCCAAGAGGACCCCAAGGCGGGCGAAGCCCCCAGAAACGGCCCAAGCGGTTCCCAGAACGGCTAAGAGACCACCAAGACACCCGAAAGAGCCCCCAGAGGACCCCGCAGCTTTGACGCCAAGGACCCCAAGAGCACCAGGGGACTGGAAAGTCCTTTGCGCACGAGTCGGTGACGTAAACATCTTTGGACGCCAAGGGTCCCAAGAGCGAGCAGTGGGCCAGAAGGTTCCGAATGCCCAGGCTCCCAAGAGAGACAGTTCTTAATGCCAAGGCTCCCAAGAGCGAGCGGTTACCCAAGAAAGCTGAATTCCAAGGCTCCCAAGAGTGAGCGGTGGCGTACACAACTCTTAACACCAAGGCTCTCAAGGGCGAACAGCGACGTAACAAGCTCTTAACGTCAAGGCTCTCCAGCGCGAAAGATGACGTGAACAGCTTTTAACGCCAAGGCTCCCAAGAGCGAACGGTTACCTACACAACTCTTCACACCAAGGCTCCCACGAGCGATCGGTGACGTGAAGAAGCTACTAGCGCCAAGGCCCCCAAGAGCGTCTCGGGCGAGTTCCTGAAGCGCTCTTTCCGTTCCCGTGCCAGCCCCAGTCTGACGCTGCGAAGAGTTTAAATCAATGTGGTCGTTTAGGCGTAGTGCTTCGGTCTCTCAGCCTGGCGCTCGCGGTAGCAAAGCTGACTACTCGATCTGGCTTGATGAGGTACGGAGAAGTGGGAGCCGTAACCAAAACAAAGAGGCGGAGGCTCGGCCCGGCTACGGCTACGGCCGCGGCCTGGCAGGGGGAGGCTCGGAGGTGGCTGTACCCATGTCCTTGCCACACAGCTGCCGAAAGTCCAACCTCACCTACCGACGAAAGTCTGGCGGGGAGCGGGAACGATCCCACGGCGCTGTGGCAGCCTCTCCCGCCCCCTCCGGCTCGCCGGAAGTTTCGCGGGCTACCCTCCGGGGTGGAAGGGCGCCAACGGCACGTGGTTGACGCGGCTAACGAGGCTCTGGCGGGCGTGGCTCTGGGCTGGAGAAGTACCTCGCACGAGGGACTGTCTGTTGCCCGGGGCCATATGCTGACGAGGTGCCCTGGGTGTTCCCAGCTTCGGGATTCTCGGTGCTCGTGCTGCCGCGTAGGCAGTGGCGGGGGGACCAAAGACATGCAGGGAATTCAACCGGCCCGCGGGTCGCAGCCTGACAGGTGGGTGGGCCAGCCGACCTACATGTGGGAGCGCCTTATAAAGCTCCGGCCTACAGGAATGCCCATGTGCGGACCGTCGCGCTGGTTTGCCGTTACAGCTCCTGGCCTGCTCCGAACTGCTACAGAATCCAGAAAGGGGTTATACGGGATGGGCGCTCCGTAACAGATCCAGCACGCAGTGGGGGTCTCTACTGCGTCAACGAGATCCCCCCCGGAGGGCCGACCCGAGGCCGCGGCGCGGCCCGCACGCGGGTGCTTATCCGGGCTTGGTTAGGGCATCTACACAAGGCGGAGGCCCCTAGCCAGGGGGAGCTCCCTCCTGCTTGGTCTTCCCTCCTCCTCATCCTCCTCCTCCTCCTCCTCCTCCGCCTCCTCCTCCTCCTCCTCCCTCCCTCCCTCCCTCCCTCCCTCCCTCCCTCCTTCCTCCTCCTCCTCCTCCTCCTCCTCCTTCTCCTCCTCCTCCTCCTCCTCCTCCTCCTCCTCCTCGAGTGGACTTGGCACGGGAGGACGCTCTGGAGGGAGAGGAGGGGGAAGCGCACGGGGAGACGGCAACGGCACGTGGCAGCAGCCCAGCACGCGCGAGCTCTCATCGGTAGGCAGGGGGCGCAAGTCCAGCAGCGCAGCTGCCCAAGTCGGTGGTCGCAACCAAGCCCGTTGGAGCGCGCTGGCATGAGGTGGAGGAGGAGAGGCGAGGGAGAGACGAGGAGGAGGGGAAGAAGGAAACACGCAACACGTGAGTCGGGGTCCGAGGGTGGCCAAGACATCCGGGCTCAAGCGGGGATTCAACGCGAGGGCGGGGAGGCCGCAGTCATAGTCGTCATCCTCGTACTCGTCCTCGTCTGGGCGTGTGCTCCACCGCCTTCCCCAGCACGCTCAGGGACTGGTTGATGGCGATGCCCTACGCGGGGGGGGGTCGGGGCGGCGCCCAATGAGGAGGGGGAAGAGATAGGAGGACAGAAGGGAGGAGCAAGGGGAGAGATAGGAGGACAGAAGGGAGGAGCAAGGGGAGGAGGAGGAGGAGGAGGAGGAGGAGGACGACGACGACGAGGAGGCGGCGGAGGAGGAGGAGGACGGAGGAGGAGGAGAAGGAGGAGGAGGAGCAAAGGAGGAGGAGGAGGAAGAGGAAGAGGAGGAGGAGGAGGAGGAGGAGGAGGAGGAGGAGGAGGCGGAAGAGGAAGGGCAGCGGTTAAGGATGTTCCAGGGAGGTCCTGGAGGGTTCTGGGACGTTCTAAGGAGCAATTGGGGGTAGGAGGACAGGAGGGAGGGTTTTGAGCGCAGGTCATCTAACTGCGCGCCTCACTGCCCAAGCTGGACCAGGGGCAGCAGATCGGGGCCGACCCACAAGCAGGAAAGGCAGGCCTCGCCCCGCACAGCAGCTACGGGAGCGGCCGAACAGGGCAGCACACTCGGCCTCTTGGCCCCCAGCCTGCTGTCCTGCCAGCTCTGCATGGGTACCAGGCCGCATGTGTGAAAGCGAGGCCTTCGGCGGCCAGCCTGGACGGCATTTCAGGAGGAATGGCTCGACGGTTTGGCGTGGCCTTGGGTGGGGATTACCATCCTATTGTTCTTCAAGCTGCCCCACGCCTAGAACAGCCGGCGCGGTGGAGAGCGGGGTGCGACTGGGATGTATGGAAGGGCGCCGCGGGCCCCACGCACCCCCAAAACTCGCGTTCCGCCATGGTGTCCCCCCACATGGGTAAGAGGTTTCGCATGCTCGTTCGCACTCCTCCTGTACATGTACTACCTCATGTTGCGGGGGACACACAATATGGGGGAAGAGCTGGCCACGGAGTTGACCTAGCAGGGTTGGCCCTATGCAGCTTCCAGGCAATAGCACAAGGTCGCAAGCAGTCAGCAATGTTCCTCATGGTAGATGCATTGCAGGCCTTTTGAAAAGGCCATCCGTCAACTTGACATGGAGTCGTCGCTCTCCATGGACGGGATCGCCATGATTTTCAGAGCTGCCAGGTTGCCACCCGCGGCCATGCAGTCACTACTTGAAAAAGCGAATCAGCCAGCGGTTGCATTAGAACAAGCAGGTGTGTTGAGGCACATGAGTGCACTCGCCGCCACATCCTACAACGGAGCCTGGTTCTGTTCTGCAGGGGCGGTCCACGATTTCTTTCCCTATGCGTAGCTCGATCCTGGTCCAACAGTTAAGTCATATTGTATACAACTACGTCATGGCAGAGTGTGTGAACAGTGCTGTACGTAAACTCACGGACGCAGGTAATGTTCTGCAGGTGCCGGCAGCCACCGACAGGCCACTACATCAGTTGCTAGGAGACGGAGCGGATGCGACCACTCCAGCAATCGACAACAGCTTTTTCGATGACGGCGCCTTTGATATAATTGGTGCAGCGGCGTGCATTCTAGACTGTGCGCCCGAAATCACCAAAGAAGTTGTCACAGCTTTAGCCTTGGGCGGCTTGCAAGTCAACTTGAATAACAAAGAAAACAGAGAAAACAAAAAACACTGAATGTGCACTTCAATTTAGAGGCCCCAGTTCCAACAAAGCACGACTACGACTATGGACGGATATGCAGGGTATGTTTAGCACGGACACAGATGTACTTGGACAAGTTACGCTGCACGCGGTCCGCCAATATCCCCACCTGGGCACTATTATGGATGAGAAGACGTCGCTCGGCCTGGAACTCTCGCACCGTCATCGGGCTTGCGCGGGTGCATGGCATCCGCTTCGCCGCAGGGTCTGTCGCGCCGTGGGCGTATATGCCCCAGATGTGATCAGAATGCACCTACTGGACTCGCTCATTACCTCTTCGCAGAGTTCAACGCGGGCACGTGGCAAGGCATGACACAACGAGCGCTTCTTGTCGGCCAGCATTTTGATCAAGTATAGAGCGGCAGCAGGCATGCTTAGGTAAGACGGACAACGAATACAGACAAACTGGCTTGGGCGGCAGTCAGGAGAGCAAATATCCCAACGCAACTGCGCGTGCACCGACTCCGGCTTTTTGGGAGATTGCTTCATTGTGGGTCCGATGTGCTGAAAGGTATGCTTACCATGCTTATCAAGGTGGCAGAGGCCCCGTGGCTTCATGAAATTACCAACGGTTTGGTTTGACCAAGGTGTGCGCAGACTTCCCCAACCCAACCACCGACCTCCAACCGTGGGAGCAGCTTGTGTGCAAGTCGCTCCGTTCCTGGAGGCCACTTGTAAGGCAAGCACAGGCGAATCACGCGGCTGCAGCCAGACGCAAGACGCTTACAGCAGCTGCCGAGGAGGATTTATGCACAGAATACGCACGTGCTGAGCATGTCTCCCCACCATTCACCCTCAGCATCCGCTCCGGCAGCACGAGCTCAGCACACTTGCGCAGCACGAGTGCCCGTGGTGTCACACTGTTTTACACAAGCACAAGGCGCTTCAGCAACGTATTGCTCGGCAGCATCATTCTTTCGTGCAGCACGTGGAGCTTGTCATGGGGCCTTCCAACACATGTAGGGCGTGCGCCACCGATTTCTCGCAAAGAACACAGTTCAGAGACCGCTTGGCACTTCACTCTGCTCGCTGTTGCCATGCATAGTTTTTACACGGCGCGGAGGTCCCAGCATCTCTGGAATGGGCCAAGGAGGACACAGCGGCTTTCTTGACACATAGGCGTAATGGTCTAGGCAGGTGGCGTTCTGCATTTCCTGCCACAGCGCATGTGCCCGAGCAAGGCTTGATCTGGGACTCTACTTGGGTGGTTGCCTCTTTCACGGCAGCAGGAAGGATATATATATATATATACATATACATATATATATATATATACAAGACTGCAGTGGCGCTTCGCGCCATGCACCTTGGTCCTTGAAGTGTGGTATGCAGGCGGAATTGCAGGAAAGTCAAGCCGACAATTTAGCGATAACTCCTTGTGGCCTTTTCCAGCATCCCCGCTATGATAGTGTGATTCGTTATCCTTCCTCCATGCTTCTTTGTCTTCATTTTCGCCATACCCTGCGCATTCTCCCCATCCTCCTCAGCTCTTTTCTGCGGAGGCTCCTCCTGGGAGAGCCTCTGGAGTCCTCACAAAAATTGTTTCAGGCTTTCTTAATGCTTTCAGGAGGCCTCCTGGGCGTATTCTGGGGGCCTCTGGGGGCTTCCTCGGGCCACCCTGCCTCCAACCGCGGACTCCCTGAACGACCAGGTCACGATTTGGAATGCTTCGGAGGGTGTCTTGGGGCCATCTTGGGCCGCCATGGGGCTCTCTGAGGGCCATCTTGGACCCGTGTTGTGCCGTTTTGGGGCTCTCTCGGACTGCCTGGAAGCCCTTTCGGATGTTTGTGGGGCGATTTTGGAGCCTCCCAGGCGGCTTCGGACGCCCAGAAGACCGCCGTCTTGGAGCGTCGGGAAGCCGAAAAGAGGAGAACCCCAAATTTAACCAAAAACCCACAGAAAACTAAGGAGTGTTGCCTCTTGGGGCCTTCTTGGGAGTGCTCTTGGAGGCCTCTTTGGGGCCGTCCTGGAGGCCTCTTGGACCATCTTAAGGTCACGTCGGTCACTCTTGGAGCGCTCTTGTGCTGTCTTGGGGGTCTCTGGGACGTCTCCGATGACCCCCCTGATCGCCCCAGGTGTGCTGCGAAGGCTTGTCAAAACGCCCTGCAAGGCCCGGGGGGCCGCTTCGAGGCCCGTCCGGAGGGTTCCAAAGCCCCAAATCCCAGGAATCCGGTTTGGGGGGGGGGGACGGGATTTCCCCCCGCCCGGGCTTATAAAAATAGAGGAAGAGGAATATGTACACATATATATATATATATAAATATAAAAATATATATGTATACAAGACTGCAGTGGCGCTTCGCGCCATGAACCTTGGTCCTTGAGATTTGGTGTGCAGGCGGAATTGCAGGAAAGTTAAGCCGATAAGTTAGCGATGATTCCTTGTTGCCTTTTCCGGCATCGCCGCTATAATAATGGTATTCGTTCTCCTTCCTCCATGTTTTTTTTCCTCATGTTCGCCATACTCTGCGCATTCTCCCCATCCTCCTCAGCTCTTTTCTGCGGAGGCTCCTCCTGGGAGAGCCTCTGGGGGCCTCACAAAAATTGTTTCAAGCGTTCTTAAGGCCTTCTGGAGGCCTCCTGGGCGTATTCTGGGGGCCTCTGGGGGCTTCCTCGGGCCACCCTGCCTCCAACCGCGGACTCCCTGAACGACCAGGTCACGATTTGGAATGCTTCGGAGGGTGTCTTGGGGCCATCTTGGGCCGCCATGGGGCTCTCTGAGGGCCATCTTGGACCCGTGTTGTGCCGTTTTGGGGCTCTCTCGGACTGCCTGGAAGCCCTTTCGGATGTTTGTGGGGCGATTTTGGAGCCTCCCAGGCGGCTTCGGACGCCCAGAAGACCGCCGTCTTGGAGCGTCGGGAAGCCGAAAAGAGGAGAACCCCAAAATTCACCAAAAACCTACATAACATCTATGATTTGTGCCTCTTGGGGCCTTCTTGGGAGTGCTCTTGGAGGCCTCTTTGGGGCCGTCCTGGAGGCCTCTTGGGCCATCTTGAGGTCACGTCGGTCACTCTCGGAGCGCTCTTGTGCTGTCTTGGGGGTCTCTGAGACGTCTCCGATGACCCCCCTGATCGCCCTAGGAGTGCTGGGAAGGCTTGGCAAAACGCCCTGCGAGGCCCGGGGGGCCGCTTCGAGGCCGGTCCGGGGGGTCCCAAAGCCTCAGATCTCGGGAGTTCGGTTTTGGGGGGGGGGACGGGTTTTCCCCCCACCCGGGCCTATGAAAAAGAAGAGGAATATCTATATATATATATATATAGAGAGAGATATATATATATATATATATATACACACAAGACTGCAGTGGCGCTTCGCGCCATGCACCTTGGTCCTTGGAGTTTGGTATGCAGGCGGAAATGGCAGGAAGGTCAAGCCGACAATTTAGCGATAATTCCTTGCTGCCTTTTTCTGGCATCGCCGTTATAATAATGTTGTTCGTTGTCCTTCCTCCATGTTTATATTTCCTCATTCTCACCATACCCTGGGCATTCTCCCCGTCCTCTTCAGCTCTTTTTGCGGAGGCTCCTCCTAGGAGAGCCTTTGGGGGCCTCACAAAAATTGTTTCAAGCGTTCTTAAGGCCTTCTGGAGGCCTCCTGGGCGTATTCTGGGGGCCTCTGGGGGCTTCCTCGGGCCACCCTGCCTCCAACCACGGTCTCCCTGAACGACCGGGTCACGATTTGGAATGCTTCGGAGGGTGTCTTGGGGCCATCTTGGGCCGCCATGGGGCTCTCTGAGGGCCATCTTGGACCCGTGTTGTGCCGTTTTGGAGCTCTCTCGGACTGCCTGGAAGCCCTTTCGGATAATTGTGGGGCGATTTTGGAGCCTCCCAGGCGGCTTCGGACGCCCCGAAGACCGCCGTCTTGGAGCGTCGGGAAGCCGAAAAGAGGAGAATCCCAAAATTCACCAACATTAACAGAAAATCCATGATTTGTGCCTCTTGAGAGTGCTCTTGGAGGCCTCTTTGGGGCCGTCCTGGAGGCCTCTTAGGCCATCTTGAGGTCACGTCGGTCACTCTTGGAGCGCTCTTGTGCTGTCTTGGGGGTCTCTGAGACGTCTCCGATGACCCCCCTGATCGCCCTAGGAGTGCTGGGAAGGCTTGGCAAAACGCCCTGCGAGGCCCGGGGGGCCGCTTCGAGGCCGGTCCGGTTTTTTTTGGGGGGGGATGGGTTTTCCCCCCGCGCGGGTTTATAAAAATATAAGAAGAGGAGTACATATTTACAGATGTATATATGTACATATATATGTGTGTGTATTGAACCTTTACTCAGGTATGCGCAGAGAAAGTGACGTCCAGTCCATCGAGGCCGCTGTTATTTTGCCAGACTGCCAGGTTACTACGCGATCAGTGCTTTCCACCAGATCAAAGGTGACTTGACAAGTCGTCAAACCATTGCAGGATGGAGTGAACAAATACGAGCACACAAAGTATGGAACACGGGGGGGCCATGTGAAACCTGGTGTGTTGCCAGGTGGTAAGAAGGGGGCCCCCCTTACGTACTGACGAGTGCATGTGGGGGTTAGCGTGGGCGACTGAAGCGCAGCAGCAACAACTGGAGGTCAGCAACCTTCGCTTGTTTGCGATTGTGCAGTTGCTTGGATAGTATATTGTAGCTGGCACGAGTGGGTGGGCAGAGCATCCACAGCCAACAGTTTAGAGACCTCAGGCACCAACCTCATTCATGTGCGCGCCCATGCGTGCCTTGAGCTCTTCCCCCACTTCCTCTAGCACAAATTTCGACCAGTGCGTATTCCAGGACCTCCCGGCTTGTGAGATAGGGCGTGCACGTACACGTATCATATAAATTCCATGCCTACGATGTACACTGGTCTGACAAGTATTAACAAGGCGAGGTGCCCGCACAGTAAAGGTACACACATGGTATTGCTGGGAAAATGTGACGACGGTCTAGGATGCGCCAGGCCTTAGCAAGCAGCATTGTTGATTACATTCAGGCCTTGTATCACTCCAGGCTACCACTGAACTCTGATCCAGAGATTTCGATCAACGGTCTCAAGAGAAAGTATGCACGACTGAATCAGGATATCGAATTCCCAGTGGCGCCTGATGATGGGAGTGTTTCCGTCCTACCTCTTCCTACCCCCTGCCGCCCCTGCCGCCGCTGCCGCCACTTCCATCCCAGACGAAGGCACCGAGGAGACCGCCGCTCAGGCGGCAGAAGCAGCCGAGGCAGCGGCGGCCGCCTTCCTCGTCGAGGAGGCCGGGGAGGGTGCTGCCTACCCTCCTGTCGCCTATCCTCCTCCCCGACCCCCTGCGGTATTGTCTGATGAACAACTTGCTAGGATACGAGCGAACCGTGCTGCCGCCAAGGATCGGCGCAGGCAGAGGATTGCACCCTGTCGGTTTTCGTCGATTCTCAGGCCTGATGGTTGAATTCGTCTCTTCGGGAACGTCGGAGGTCACTTTCTTTTGCCTTTGGTCGTTTTCCCTGTCGAATGCACGCATGTGAGCACAACTTGACGATCATGCCACCGTTCACCATCACCTTCACCTCCTCCTCCTCCTCTCCTCCTCCTTGCTCGTGCGGCCAAGGCGACTGCAGATTATCGACCAGGCTCTCGAGTTCGCACGGAGTGTTTATTTCTGGGCCCCGACGTTTTGCCGAAAGACTACGCCCGGCATGGCCGTGCAAAGAAACTGAATACACGCACGGCTAAAATCAGATACGGAACGTCAGGAGGCCACCTGCCGGATGCACACGTAAGGGGCCCAGCCCACCAGGCCATACGAGGGCCGAGCGTCGGAAAGACGTGAGGCCACTCGTGTATCCAGCTCCGCGCATCATGTGTTTCCAGTTTCCTGGTATGCTTGGGCTCGTCCTCCTCATCCTCCTCCTCGTCGTCATCATCATGCTCCTCCTCCTCCTCCTCCTCCTCCTCCTCCTCCTCCTCCTCCTCCTCCTTCACCGGATAGCCTGACAGCCTGATCGCTGAGGAGGCAGCGTCCAGCCACACCCACGACACCCTGCCGCTCCCCTCCCCAAACGCCAGGGCGGGGAGGAGGGGGGCGGAGGGGCGGAGGCCAAGGCAGCGCTTGACAGGGCGGCGGCAGTGAGGCGCGAGGAGAGAGGAGGGACGAGAAAGACAGCGGCCGACGGGCGACGGCACGGTGGCGAGGGAGGATGCGAGATCGCTGGAACAGGCGCCAGTTCCGTTGGTTTCGTGACACTGGAGATATGGGTCCCTCCCCCTCTGGGGCTCTCCGTCGCCCCCCCCCCCTCCCGAGGCGGGCACGCACGCGGAGCAGGGAGGAGGAGGGAGGCGGAGATTTACGATGAGGAGGAGAAGGAAGAGGAGGATAAGAAAGATGAGGGGGAGTAGCCAGAGTGACGGCGACAACGACAAGGGCGAAGACGACGACGACGACGACGACCACCACCACCACCACGACGACGACGACCACGACCACCACCACGACCACTACCACGACCACGACCACGACCACGACCACCACCACGACCACCACCACGCCCACGACCACCACCACGACCACGACCACCACCACGACCACGACCACGACCACCACCAACAACACGGCGACGGCACGGCGGCGACCACCACCACCATCACGGCGACGACGACGGCGGCGCCGACGACGACGCTGCCGCCGCCCACCTCTGCGCCGCTGCCCGGGCCGCCGAGGGCCGCCGCCGAGGGCCGCCGCCGAGGGCCGCCGCCGAGGGCCGCCGAGCGCGGCCTCTTTCAGCCGATCGCCCTCGTGGGGCAACGGAATCTATACACCTCCACTGCCAGAGGCCCAGCCCATGCTGGGCCAAGGAGCAGTGTATATGCATCCGTGGCCGAACCAGGAGGGCGTAAACACCGCTCCTCGGCCCAGGATGGGCCAGGCCTGGGCAGGGGACACGTATAGATCCCGTCGCCCTTCCTCGGCCCCCGTCTTCTTCTGCCGCTCGCTGCCCGCCAGGTCGACGAAGTGGATGTGGGCCTGGCGGCGGCTCGGCCGGTCGCGCGGCCGACCGCGCGACGCAGCCCAGCAGCGGCCTCTCTCTGGCGGCCTCTCCGGCGGCCTCTGGGGCGGCGCATTTCGGCGCCTGGAGGCCTCGGCCGTTCCCCAGGGACCAGTTTTCGTCACGGGCCGTTCTGCGACGGTCAAACAAAGACACGCCGCGACGTTTTTGCCACGGCGGAGGTCTGGGGTTTGGGGCCTGGGGCTTCGGCCGTGACTTCCACCGGCGTTGCCAGGCTTTCGCGACGTCGGATCTCAGGGTGCGGCGGCCCTCGGCGGCCTCCGCCATGGCGGCCTCCCCCTCCCCCCTGCTTCCCCAACGCTCCAATCCTTCTTCCGCCTCCTCCTCCTCCTCCTCCTCCTCCTCCTCCTCCTCCTCCTCCTCCTCTTCCTCCTCCCCCTCCTCCTCCTCCTCCTCCGCCTGCTGCGGCGAGGATCCTCCGAGCGGAGAGGGGACCCGCAGCACCCCTGCCAGGCCTGGCCGGGGCAACCCAGGGCCAGGGCGCGGACCCCGCCGAGGCCGTCCCCCGGGGCCGTGGCCTGAGGCATCCCCGCGCGGTGGACGAAAAATCACGACGAGAGGTTTTGAGGTGCAACGATAAGGGGGGACTGGCATAGGGGAGGATGCATCGACCTGGAATCGGCGATACATCGCCGACAGATCGACGATAGGCCTCCGATAGTGAATCCGCACCTTCCTGGGCAGGTTGGGGCTATCGGAACCCTATCGGCCAATGGGCGATTGGGGGTCGATGTATCCCCCCCTATGCCTATCCCCCCCCTATCGTTGCCCCTGAGGTTTTGGGTGACCGCCGCCCACTACTGCTATATGCAGTGGCTGCGTCCCGGCGCACGTGCACTCAGCCCAGGCATGTTTTCTGCATGAGCTGTCCCTGGCCTTCTGTGCCACAATCTGTTGTGCCGAAGCGCTGTCTGGGTGCGGCTTCTTCCGCCCGACCCCGGGACAGTCACGGAACGCCTCCTGGGCTGACAGGATCTGGCCTTCGACCGTCCGAGCCTGCGTGGGCCCCCGAAGATGCGCTGGACCCCTCAAGAATCGACCTCCTTTACAAACTGGACCCCCCCTCATTCGCGCCCTAATTTTCTGGACCCCCTCTCCACAGGGGGCGCCTGAATATTCTGGACCCCCCCCCAAAAAAAAGGTAACAAACAATGTAGCGAGCGCGATCGTTCATGACGGCGGCCACGTCGGTGATCACATGGGCAATTGAGTAGACGGCGCTGCGAGCGTGGAGGCTGGGCCACACTGCAGAGCAACGTGATTGGCGCAAGGGCTATGCATGCCACTCCGCAGCACTTGCGAGGCGCAACGAACCCAAAGTGACAAGAACGGCCCGACTCCAACACAACAGGCCAGAAAGTGCGAGGAACCACAAGTGAGTCAAAAACCCACTGGGCTCTGGCGTGTGGAACCTCATGGGAAGACAACGGCCCCACCCCAGCGCAACAATCCCGCTCCTAACAACAAAAGAACACCTGACCTGAAAGACGGCTTGGGAAGCGAATGGCATGGAATTTGACGAAATTACAAATGACAGCGAAAACAACGCATGGGAACCCCTGATGTCAGCGACTGCGACGGCGAGCATGATGCAAACAACGCTGTGATGGTGATGCTGATGTGATGATGACGATGGGTATGTTGATGGGGCATGTGATGCATGTACAGCATGTGACAAGCGAGACGATGTCGTGCATGTGACTGATGTCGACGCTGTGCTACGTGTGCAGGCAACGACGATGATGGTGTGTATGGTGGTGATGAATGATGGTGGATGATAATGCTGATGCTGATACTGATGATGATGATGATGATGATTATGATGATGATGATGCTGCTGGTGGTGGTGGTGATGATCATGAAGGTGGTGATGG